CCTCAAGAGCCTATCTGAGCTTTATGGGAAGCTTGGGTTTTAGGAGTAGGCAGCATGTCCAGGGTGCCAGTACTGTGAGAGTTTCTTGTTGGAGATTTACAACAGGTAGAGAGTCGTTCCTACCTGAATTGGTGAAGCCAAGGGTGCCAGCAAAACATGTGGTGGAGCAAGCTTTAGTCTCTAGCAAAATGGAGTTCTGAATCCCAGCTGTGGGAGGAGGGCAGTTGTGAGGCCCAACCAAAGCTGTCTGAACCTCCCACAGTTAGGAAAGAATTATCACTGGTTGGGGGCTGGCCTCTCTGACTGCCCTCTCTCTATCTGTGATAAATCCCAAAACTTCAGTGGTGGTGCTGCTGCTGCTGATGGGGTGGTATATGCTCAGGCTGCTGCCCAGTGGCAAGGGTGGTCTCCACGGGGCAGCGTCTCAGAAATCCAGTTGATTCCCACCCATGAGGTGGCCTAAACCGGAGCTTCTCAGTAGAGTTGCAAGATGGAGCTGGGGCCCCAGTGAGGCCAAGACAAGGCCTCCCTACTAGGAAGAAAGGCAAGTGCAAGACAAGAGCTGCCCAGGCAGAGGACTGGGGACACCACATGGAGAAAGGCAGGCGAGAATATTAATAGCAGCTGGGGTTAAAGCTGTGGAACTGCCTCCCTCCTCAGAGGCTGATGCTGTTTCAGCAGAGGCTGGGAGGACCCGCAGGCCTCTGCCAGGGACTGAGGCAATCGGGGGCTTCCGCTCCAGCCTGAGATCCCAGCGGGTGCGGGCAGTTAATCTCCGAAGGCCAGAGTCACCACTACTAGAGAGCAGGAACATTGAACTTTTCAATCACATTAATTTCCACAGGAAATTGTTGTCTTCCTTTTGTCCAAAGGTTAGTGATTTATATTTACCATCCTCTTAACTAGCCTGGAAATTTACTGTTGCCAGGTCACCACCGGCATCCATAAATCTCAGGGTGGCAGCTATGCATAGCCAAGTGGCTTGGTCCTTGGAAGGGGGGACATGATGGCCCTTTCAGGAGGGCAGCTAACTATCTGCAAACAGTCCCTGCACAGAAGTCCCCTGGAGCAGGTGGGCACTCACTGCCCAGGGGAAATGAGATGAGGCCTGTTCAGCATGGATGCAGGGAGGCCTCTTCACAAGCAGCCGTGGGGGAAGCACCTGGGATTGTGCCTCTTGGCATCTCACTGAAGGAGATTCACTGCCAGTGTAGACTAGGGCCTGTGGCTTAGAAGGTGTTCAGATAGCTTAGGAGTGGGGAGAAGGGGTCAGATTCTCAGTTCTACACTATATGTGTGACCTTAGGAAATTCCTTTAACCTCTCTGTGCCTGTTTCCTCATCTGTAATACTATGGTTAATGGGCTGTAATAATAGGTTAATGGGCTGGACTGCAAAGTTGGTTTGAACTGCAAGGTCAGTGGTTCAAGTTCACCAGCCGCTCCTTGGAAACCCTATACAGGGTTGCTATGGGTCAGAACCGACTCAATGGCACTTAACAACAACAACAATAATAGTACTAAACTTCAGTATTGAAAAACCCAGCAAGTCACATCTGACTCATGGAGGCCCCAGGTGTCAGAGTAGAACTGTGCTCCTTGGGGTTGTCAGTGACTGATTTTTCTTAAATAGATATTCCTTCTATGCGTGTATTAACTATCTGTGCTATCCAAGGACTCATCTATACTGTGGGTGTAAAGTGCCCTGGGCTTGGTTCTGACTCATAACCACCCTATATATATAGGGTTTCCGAGGAGTGGCTTTAGTGCATATCCTATAGCACCTTACCAGGACTCCATCAATAAATAGGGACAATAATTAGCATAAGGAGTCCTGATGTGGCACTGTGGGTTAATGCACTGGACTATAAGGTTGGTTTGAACTTCAAGGTTGGTGGTTCAAGCTCACGAGCCACTGTGAGTAGGGCTGCTAACCTCAAGGTCAGCAATTTGAAACTACCAGCCGTTCCACCAGAGAAAGATGAGGCTTTCTGCTCCCATAAAGATATACAGCCTTGGAAACCCTGTGCAGGGTCTCCGTGAGTTGGAACTGGGCCGCTGTGAGTTGGAATTGACTCCATGGCACGTAACCAACCACCAACCAATCATTATTCTGTGATAGAACAGGGTGGGTGTGTTGGTACAGGCCAGAGTCCATTTACCCCACCCCCTGCTTACTCTGTGCTATTTCACCTTGTAAAACCTCTTCCATATACTCATGAAATTAGAACAGAGTTGGCAACTTTTTCTGTAAATGACCATTATATACAAGGGTAAACCAATGCTACTAATGTTCCAGTTAATATATATAATGGTTTATTCCAGACAAGATGTGTTTAAACATGTTATCTGTGATCAGTGAATGACTATAGACAAGTTCTCTCAGCAATATACTGGTCTGAATCTCATTAGGGTGCCTTCAAAAAAAAAGGTCCAATCAAAACAGTAACTTCCAAGGGAATCACCTGGACCACTGGAATTCAAGGCAGCTCAGAAGGTTATGGCAACTGTGTTTTGGTTCTTCCAAGGGTAATCTTGATAGATTTTCTCCAAAGACACAGGATGATCACGGGGGTATTATGAAGAAGTTTTAAGAAAATTAAACACTGTATTCATTGGTGACACAAAGGCTAGAAAAGATTTTTCCTTCACAACAATGTACCTGCTTATTATTTGAGGCTAGGAAGGGCTGTCCTATGAGAATTTTGTTGGGAAACCTTATCCCATCTGTCTTACATCCCTGCTCTTGCCCTTTCAGGCTTGTTTTTATTCCACAAATTCAGCGTTTCAAAGGAATATGATTCAAGGAATATGATTTGAGTCTCTTGAGGATGCCAACAATGCCATTTTGACATAGTATAAATCTAAGAGTGCAGAATTCTTTGGGGAGGGCTTAGAGAGATGGAAATACCACCCTGAGGATATGCTGAGAAACAATAACTTTACGTTTTTATATATTTTTGTTTAATAAAGCTTTCTATGATGTGGCAATACCTTTTGACATCATATTTAGACTTAGCAAATGATACAGTCTCCATTACCAGCACCCAATTCTGCCTTTTTTAAAAAAATTATTGTATATTGATTGAATTACAGAGCAGATCATTAGTTTTACATTGAACAAATCTGACACTTGGTTTCATCTCAGTGATTGCAGTCCTGTGATAGAACATCACTCATTTCATGTCCTTTGTTTCTTTCTGTTCTCATACCGCCTCTTTTCCAGCCCTTCTGGATTTTGTCCTGAGGCAAATGCTGACCTTTTGATCTCAAATGGGTGACCGTTCTATGGTATACCTCACTAGTATTGCCCCCCATATATTCCTCTCTATTGTTTTGCTGAAAATTGAGCCAGCCACTGGGGTGACATCAGTTCCAGACCTGAAGGTTGGCCAAGGGCCATAGTCTTGGGGTTCTACTAGTCTCTATCTGACCAGTAAGCCTGGCCTTTTTTTATAATTTTGAGTTTTGTTCCACATTTTCTCCCACTCTTATCCAGGACCTTCTAATGTGATCCATTTCAGAGCAGTTGTTAGTGATAGCCAGGCACCCTATAGCTGTTCTGGTCTTAGGGTCACGGAGACTGATATTCACATGGTCCCTTAGTCTATTAGACTAGTTGTTTCCAAGGTCTTAAATTTTCATCACTCTTCCTTATTCTGGATAGGGAGAAACCAGTAGTTGCACCTTAGATAGCCACTCATGAGCTTTTAAGATCCCAGTCTCTGTTAACCAAAGTAGGAGTTAGAACATTACCTTTGTGGTCTATGTTATGCCAATTGACCATGGTGTCCTCCAAGATTCCAGCAACTCATTCCCTCAAGGTGTTTGATAATGCCTAAGAACTTTTCATAATCTTGACCCTGGAAACCTGGTGTGGCTCTTTAGGATAAGCACTGGACTGCCAACCACAAGGTCAGAGGTTGCAACCCACCAACCACCTGTCAGGAACCCTATACCGGGTTGCTATGGGTCAGAACTGACTCAACAGCAGTTAACAACAACAACCTTCTCCACTACATTCATGGGTATGTTTGTAGCAAAGGTAAATACCCATGTACAGATATCCTCTGTCAAACCTTTATTTATTTGTGGATGTACTTCCACTTTCCCTCTGTTCAGCTTGTGTATCTATCCATGTATGTACCCATACATCACTGTTATTCCAGGGTTGTATGTATAACAGAATTTACCTCTGTTCCCTTTAACTCTTGCACTCTTCCTTGTGTCTTCTGCTCCTCCTGTCTGTCATCTGCCAACCTTTCTCTTCCACCCTGTTGCTTTAATGTGAAAGTAGCCATAGACAGTATGGAACTAAATGAGCATGGCTGTGTTCCAGTAAAATTTTACTTCTGAACACTCACATCTGAATCTAATACAATGTTCACGTATCACAAAATATTACTCTTCTTTTGACTTTTAAAAAACATCGTAAAATGCAAAACCATAGCTTGCAGGCCTTATAGAAACTGACAGTTGGTTCGATTTTGGCCCATGGGTGATAGTTTGCTGACCTCTAGATTGTTGTTGTTGAGTGCTGTCAAGTCAGTCCTTACTCTTAGTGACCCTGTATAGGGTTTCCAAGGAGTGGCTGGTAAGCTTGAACCATCGACCCTGTGGTTCAAGCTGACTTTGCAGTCCAGCGCATTAACCTCAGCACCACACCAGAATTCCTAGATTAGATCCCTAGATTAGAAGGGGGGATTGCATGGAGGTAATTCACTTCTCACCTGGGTTATATTTTTGAGCCACTAAAGGTGCCCTCATGTGGGTTTTCCCAGTCACCTCCGAGTGCCTTCTGAGAGGTCTGCAGAAAGCCAGTGGGGCACGACAGAGAAGGAGCCCTGTGGGAACCTGGGGTACAGGGATTGGCAGGATAGGATGCCTGGGCCTGGCACTGGGCTAGTTCTCTGCCTGTGGGGAGTGGTATGGTGCTGACTCTGGATTGGCCAGTGACCCCTACTCCAGTTTAATTGTTGACAGCCCGCCTCTTGTGTTTCAGAGAGCAGTCCAGAGGGAGGGAGGAAGGAGGCGGGGACTCGACAGCCTGTGGTGATTCTCTTGGGCTGGGGTGGCTGCACGGACAAGAACCTTGCCAAGTACAGCGCCATATACCATAAGAGGGTGAGTACTATAGGTATGCGAGTACCTTGTCACCTGTGGCTGCTCAGAGGGGAACTGAGATTTTGGCTGTCATTTGCTCTCATGCAGCCAAGGCTGACCACCCATGTGACAGGTCTGGGAATGGTACCAAGATCAACCTATGGGAAAGACAATGAACCATACCCCATGTTTGCTGCCAGTTCTGGCCTGGCTCCTTCAGCCCTCTGACCTGCTTCCCTTCCTTCTGCCCTGCACCTTTGGTGGGCAGCCCAGCCTTGCTCTGCTCCCTTGTTATAGAGGCCCTGGGTGATGCTTCTCTGGACAGCAGGAGCCTGGGCTGGGTGTGCTGGGATTTTCTCCTCTGACCAGGTGAGTTTCTGTTTTTAAGGTCCATCCTGACACCTTCCACATTCTCCAGTTCAGGTGACCCAGGCTTGAGGTGTTCATGCTTCGCCTCTAGCTCTATCAAGACTTGGATGTAAAAGTGGTGGTCATTGGAGGGGCTGCTGAGGAGGGCTTGGTGCTCTTTTCAGATCTTTGTTTTCTGATTTGGCCCTTCCCTCCTCAGCCCAGATCTTTCCAAAGCAGTTTCTAGTGGCCACCAGTGCAGACACAGCCTTGGACTGAGGAGGAGTGGGAGTCATCTGGGAGAAAGCCAGGTGATGCCTGGCAGTGCCGTCACCCTAACCCCCTCAGTCTCCCTCGTGCCACTGACCCATGCCCGCACTTTATCTGAGGTGTGTAATGGACCTGCAGTGGAAGTGGGGTTGTGAGGAAAACATTCTGAATGTGAAGCCTCCCTCCAACCAACAAAACCTCTGCTGTCACCTTTTCCAGGCTGCCTTATTCTGCAGATGGTTTCAGCTATCCTGACTTCCACCCACTGAGCTGGGCTTGTTTGTCTGATCTCTTCATCAGACTAAGATCCGTGAGGCGGGACAGAGGACTAGCAGTAGTTGTGTGTGGCTAGAACAGAGAATGAGAGAAAAGGCAAGGGTTAAGAGATGAGGTTAGGGGTTTTGGGATTAAGCAGGGATGTGGTTTTAGGTCTATGCTTTCGAGAGCCCCTCCATGCAGAGTGGGCCGAGGATCAGAAGGGCCATGACCTGAAGGAGGGAAGTGAGTTAGGAGGGGTTGCTGTGGCCCAGTACGGAATGTGGCTGGGACCTTAGGACTGGTGGTACAAGCCAAGGGAAGTTGATGGACTGAGGAGGGAGAGATTGGGTGTGGGACTGAGGGGTAGGGGAAGGGGTCCAAGATAATGCCAGGCTCTGACTGGGGCAGTTCTGAGAGAGGTTGTTTGTGATAGAGAGCACAAGAAGAAAAGCCTAAGGCTGTGGGGTAGAGGCGATTCACCAGAGAGAGTGGAGAGGAAGGAGAAGAGTGGAGGATAAAGAGGGGTCCCACTGATAAAAGGAGATGTACAAAGATAGACCAGAAACCCAGGAGAGCGTGACAGACTTCACAGAGAGAGAGTCTTTGAGAAATGGGCCATTTTGGAGGGAGAGAGTGAAGATATTATCAGAGCAGAAGACCCAAAGGAGAAGGTGACGGAGTCAGATCTCAGGGACGGCAGGGGACTCAAGGGTTTCAGGACTGCAGGAGGATTAGACTTGGAGAGGACTGTCCTCCATGTAGAATGGCTGTGCAGAAAAATACTGTAAGTCAAAACTCCAAATGCTTTATTATTTAAAAGAAAATAAAAGTTTCATAGTGCATGACTTAGGGACTCCCTTTATTTATGCCTGAGAAGGTGCTGTGGATCAGCACTGGACTGCGAACCACAGGGTGGGCAGTTCAAACCCTCGAAAACCCTGTAAAGGATTGTTATGAGTCAGAACCCACACGACGGCACTTAACCACAATTAACAACAATATATCCTTTCAGAGTCCTGGTGTGGCGCTGTGGGTTAATGCGCTGGATCCCAAGGTTGGTTTGAACCGCAGGATTGGCAGTTCATGCTCACCAGCTGCTCTTCAGAAACCCTGTACAGGGTCGCTATGAATCGGAACCAACTTGACGGCACTTAACAACAAATATATCCTTTCAGCTCTTTTTCTCTCTCTGTATTTTGTATTGTGCTTTTTTCAGACCATGATTTCCATTTTCCCAGCTTAATACATTGTCATTTCATCAGGCTTCCTGTCTATACACAAATTTGTACTTGTCCCCAAAGTGTCTTTAACAGCTGATATGACCACACACCAAGATCCAATCCAGACCACACGTTGCCTCTAGTTATTTCGTTCCTTAAGGAAACCAAACCCGCTGCCACTGAGTCTATTCTGACTCTTTGTGACCTTACAGAACAGGGATTCTCAAGATTGAATCTGCAGGGAAGCAGTCAGCCTTTCTTCCTGATACTGGGTCATTCAAGAGCCTGGCTTACAGTGGGTTACCACAGACCATTTCAAGGCCAGTGTGACCCTGAATGCTGCTGGAAGGCAAGGAAGAAGGGCACTGAGAGGCATTGGTTAGATTTGACTGGTAGGGAGAGTGTGACTGACCTTGGTTAGAGCAATGCCAGGAGTCGAGCAGGGGATGAAGTGGAGAGTGTGAGTGTCAAAATTACTTCCGGAAGTTTGTCTAGGAAGACAGGGAGGCATGTAGTTGTAAGAGAGCATAGTGTAAAGGCTGAACTTTTTGGTGAGACTTGTTAGAGCAGGACTCTACAGGAGAGTAGGGAATGGAGGACCTTGTCCAGAGATGGAGAGGTGGTTGGCTTAGGGGTTTGGGAAAGAGACTGGGATCTGATGTGCATCAAAAGCGGGGCCCTTGACACAGGGACTTCCAGGAGTAGCTGACTGTACTGTACTGGGGAGGTGGCAGCAGAGATGCCCAATCCCATGAGATGTAGGGAAGCTTGTTGCATGCTTGCCCATTCATGGGGAGTGCTAGGTCCTGTGTGTGCAGAGGAGGGCTGTCCATGCCCTCATAGATGGCACGTTCACAGGAACTGCTGGGTTGTTGTGTGCCAACAAGCAGCTCTGTATGTGATTGCTCCTGGGAGGGCTCACTGTCCACACTCACAGGGAGGACTGTGTGTGTGCTCTGGTGGTAGGAGGTGTATTTGTACACTTGGCGAAGGCCAGTGGATCTGTGCACTGAGGAAGTATCATGTGTCCACATACTGACAGGCATTGCTGCAGATATGTAAGCTCGGTAATACTGTGTAATTCTGATAAACTCAGGAAGTGGCTGCATGTTTGTATGTGAAGCTATGTGAACACGTCACAGACCTCAGGTTCATGCAACATACAAGTGTGTACCTGCCAGTGCTTCGTGTGCTCGTGAGTGTGTGTGTTTCTGTGCCCTCATGGATGGTGCAGGTGTGTGCTCATGGGTGGTAGGTACTGTATGTGTCTGCACCTGTGTCACGTGAGGTGGGCGGCTTTTGTTTAATTCCAGGAGTGCTGTGTGCAATGTATTGTGCGTGTGTGGGCCATGCTGTGTGTACGCTGGAGGGGGAGTGTGAGAAGACATCGCTCATCCTTCCAGGAATGGTGCTTTATGGCCTCCCCTATCCCATAGCACTTTGTGACACTGCCCAGAGTTCAGGGCTAGGTGGCCTCGGCCACCCGAAGGGATGTCCCCGGAATGATGCTTAGATACTCCATACTCCAGGGCAATTTCTACTTCTGCCGCTCATTACTGCTGCTATTGGCTGGGAATTTCTTTTGTGTTAAGTGCTGTTTGGGGCATTTGAAATCAAATTTTCATTTAATTTTCACCCAAACCATGAGTGTTACCCCAATTTACTGATGGGGAAATTGAGATTCTGAAAGGTGATGTATAGTGGCTTTGCCCAACTCAGACTCCCCTGACAAACAGCCCTTTGTCTCTGGAACCAATAAATGAAAGCACTCACCAGGGTGACTTTGGCTCCCTTTCTGACAGGTTAAAAGGGGACCTGAATGGGGAGCCTTTAGGGTGCAGAAGTCTGGAAGAGTTTGGGCCCAAATTTTAGAGTTTGAAGAGCAACAGCATGTACTATGGTTGGAATTTCAGGGCAAGTGGGAGGAGTGATGTCAGGCCTTGGAACCAGACAGACTTGGCTGTTAGGCTCCTGAGCCAGAGTGTGGACTCTGTAACTGACCAGTCACAGTTGTGATGCGGGTCTGGCTCCAAAGTGACTGCCGGTGTTCAGAGTTGGGACCTGTATCTACTTGTAGGGAAAGTACAGAGCAGAGTCACTGCAGAAGGGTTAGCCAAGCAGAGGTGTCTTCTATGTGTAAGTGTTGGGCAGATGAGGTTGGAAGTCTGGAGAGACTCCCTAGGCCCTCTGGTGGAGGTGACAGAGAGCGAACCAGAGTAAGGAGACTTCTTTTGGTGGGCATGCTCTGGGCTTCAGGCCACAAATAGCTTCCCAGGTTGAGATGATGTTCTCAAAACAGGCCTTGGCTGTTGCCTTCCTTTCCTGGGAGGCACCTGTATCTGAGTGGTGGCTGTAGCCAGGCTGGAGTAGGGCCTGGAGCACTGTGGGCTTTGTGACCTTAGCTCATAAGGACCGACCAGGCCTCTCTCCTCTCTCCAGGGCTGCATCGTGATCCGATACACAGCCCCATGGCACATGGTCTTCTTCTCCGAGTCCCTGGGCATCCCTTCACTTCGTGTTTTGGCCCAGAAGCTGCTTGAGCTACTCTTTGATTACGAGATTGAAAAGGAGCCTCTGCTCTTCCATGTCTTCAGCAATGCCGGGGTCATGCTGTACCGCTACATGCTGGAGCTCCTGCTTACCCATCGACGCTTCTGCCACCTGCGTGTGGTGGGCACCATCTTCGACAGTGGTCCTGGTGATAGCAACTTGGTGGGGGCTCTGCGGGCCCTGGCGGCCATCCTGGAGCATCGGCCTGCCGTGCTGCGCCTGCTGCTCCTAGCGGCCTTCGCCCTGGTGGCAGTCCTGTTCCACATCTTGCTCGCTCCACTCACTGCCCTTTTCCACACCCACTTCTATGACAGGCTCCAGGACTCAGCCTCTCGCTGGCCTGAGCTCTATCTCTACTCAAGGGCTGATGAGGTGGTCCTGGCCAGGGACGTGGAACGCATGGTGGAGGCCCGCCAGGCACACCAGGTCCTGGTGCGCTCTGTGGACTTTGTGTCATCTGCACATGTCAGCCATCTTCGTGACTATCCGACATACTACACAAGTCTCTGTGTCAACTTCATGCGCAGCTGCATGCACTGCTGAGGTCCTGCCCACACCTCCCCTCTACTCCAGAAATAAATGCCTGACAGTGGCCCACAGCCAACAACGTGGGGCCCTCTTCTGCTTCATGACCCTCTGGTCCACTGGGACTGTGTGGTCCCCCAAGTAGGACATTCCAATGGGCCTCTGTCCTGGTGGTTTGCCTACCTACCCCAGGATCCTAAAGGGGTGAAATACCTGGGCAGGTCTGTGAGAACCTTGCCATTGGTTGCATTTCAACATGAGCAAGTCAGGCTGCTGGTCGCTGTGGAGTTAGGCCAGTAAGGGCTATCAAAGTGGGGAGGGTTGACAGGGAGTCTAAGGTGATTTTTGATTCTTTGAATGAAAGGTGAGTTTTGTGGGTGGTTTCAGAGTGTAAGGTCAGGCTAGGAGTAGTGGCTGCATTTGATCTGTGCTTCAAGGCTCCAGAAAGGCCAGGCATTCCTATGGGTCTTGTGGTAGCTGAGAGACTTCTCTGATGTCATAGCCAGGGAGTCTGAGGTAGAATCCAGGTGAGAAGCTGAGGTTGTAGCAGTGAGGGGCCTGCCCCAGTCCATCTATCTTTGCTAGGAAGTCACTGTGTCCAGAAAGTTGCAAACTGTGTGCATATTGGGCAGATGGAGAGGAGAGCAGGAAGGCAGCAGTGCTGTGACAGGAGCCGGGGCAGTTGAACTCATGAACCCCTATAGACCAGCCCAGGTTAAGGGACCGTTTGGCTGAAACAAACTCCATCTCCTTGGGGGAGACTCACCTGGATACCCTGAAGGTAGGAGGGAGGAGTGGCTTCAGCCTTATAGCTCCGTATCATCTGTCATTCTACAAGTTACTGCTGCACACAGCTGGAACATAGTTAACAAAGCAAAAAACAAGTTGACTGCAACTTGTAGTAACCCTACAGAATAGTTTCTGAGACTGTAAATTTTTATGGGAGCAGCCAGCCTCATTTTCTCCTGCAGAGCAGCTGCTGGGCTTGTGAACAGTCCGATGCTTAATCCATTGTGCCACTGGGGCTCCTTGCTGTTAATTGACATCGAGTTGGTTCCCGACTCATTGTGACCCTGTATAGGGTTTCTGAGGAGCTCCTTGGAACATAGACATTCAGTAAATACTTGAAGGAGCTTACTGTGGTGAAGGGAGTTGGTGACAGGGTTGGGCTTTTGAGTTTAGCAGGCAGTGAAGGAGATGGCTAGAAAAGCTCTGGGTTAGGGTGGGACCTGACCAGATATGCTCAGAGGCCCACATAGCCAAGTCCTATCTGCCTCAGTCTCTGAAGTCCCTCATACTGCTGTAGCCAATTCAGATGTAGGTGACTGCACTCCTAACCACGGCCAACAGGTGGCAGTGCCGCCTGTGCCATGACAGCTCCAGGATTCCCACAGCAAGACTTCATGGAATGCCCTCACTGTGGGTTAATGTCCCCTATTAGAGAGCATATGGCCCCCAGGGTGGGCGTAACCAGCCATCAAGGACCTACTGAGTCCATCCTAGGGAAAGGAGCATTGACATAAAGGGAACCAGCCTGATGGGAAGGGGCATCTAAGAGTGCATTTCTCCACTGCCCACATCTTCTGGTTTCTTTTTCCAAGCCCTCAGCCATCTATCACCGGAGCTGCATTACCTCCACATACATTTCCCTAGCGTCTCAGCCCTTGGGTCCTGGTGTTCACTTTATTTGGTGCCATCATGCTGGGCATGAGACTGAAGGTCCTGCTCTGGGTTCCAAATAGGGTGATTCATCTCTTGTGCTTTATTTTGGTACAAGGGAAGCTGCCAACTAAACCCAGTTCTGTCATACACACTGGTGGGCATCCCAGAGATTTGGGATAATGAAGGTCTGTGTGAGAATGTGTATGGAGTCTGAATTCATGGACATACTCAGGGCCTTGAATTGTAATCAAAATCATTCTCAAACCAACTTTCTGTTGCAGGTAAGGACTCATCTATAGCTGAGCATCTGCCCAAGGTGAGCAGGATTCTTACCCTGCACCTCACTGGCTTGGGAGCATGACAGGATCTGACAGAATGTTACTTGCTGCTAGCAGCCCAGCCTCAATTACCTACCCCAGGGTCCATCTTCTAGAATAGGGTTTGCTAGTGTAGTGGTTAGAAATTGGGCTGCTAACCTCAAGGTCCACAGTTTGAAACTACCAGCTGTTCCACAGAAGAAAGATGAGGGCTTCTGCTCTTGTAAAGATTTGCAGCCTCGGAAACCCTGTGCAACAGGGTCATTATGAGTCAGAACCGACTCTACTTTTAACAACTATTTCCAGGCAGTAGCTACATGGGGCTGTGGGACATCCTGGGGAGCTGAGATGATTCCATTTAGTCACTGGCATAGTTCAGGGGACTAGAGAGGCCTGGGGCTTATGTGCTTCTCCCAAGCTTGTAGCTATTCCTGACCTAGGTTGGGGGATTGAGTGTACATCCCCTATGTACCCCCAAGCTCTGACCTCTTCTGTGATTAATGAGCTGACGATTCTGCATCAATAAGGAATTAACCTAGAGCCCCTACCCATCAATAGTCAGGAGCCTGGACCTCCCCCCCCATCCCAGCCTGAGTGCTCCAGGGGCCCTGATCAGACCAGCCCTGCCTAGCATTATACACCACAGCGAGGGTCAGCTCCACTGCAGCCAGGATAAGCCCTGTATCAGCCTGCCCATCCCATCCTCCGCCTCTTCCTACACACACAGGCATCAGTTTGTTATATTGGTTTAATCCATGTCAAACGTAGTTTACAAAGGGAAAGGACAAGTACCTTTGTATAGAATATACAGACACAGCATCACACCACGGGGCCCATGTGAGGGGGTGGGGAGACAATTTCCTTGGGAACAGCAGCTCTAATCCAAGGATTAGTTCTTGGGCAGCCAGGAGCACACTCATCCATCCCCACTATCAGCCCTGGCTTCAGCTCAGTTCCCATTTCCTGCCACCCACCCCCAACTCCTTATAAAGAGCCCTATGAGCTAAGACTAAGGAGAAGATCATGTCCCTTGGGGCATGTACCCCATGTCTGGGAGAAGAAATATACACCACTGAACACCGAGCACATGGGAGAGGGAAGGGACACCATGGGGGGGCAGGCACCCCAAGAGGTGGATGGGCCGAGCCCCCAGCCAGCCCTGGGAGAGGCACTGCTTCAGGTATTCTTAAAAAAAGAAGAAAATCATACAACCAAAAGGCAGGGTGGAAGGGTAGAGGGTGAGGGGCTGTCCCGTTTATACACAACATTGTAAACATACATGGTCTATATTACATGTGCTTCAGTCTGGTGTTTGCATGTCTGTCTGTTCATCTTGTCAGTCAGAGGGCTGAATCTCAGGAACCTTGTCCTTCCTGTTCCCCCACCCTGGGAACAGCCTGGAACAGCTACAGTCCCCAGCCTCCACTCTGGCTCCAGAGTCCTGTGTGTGTGTGTGAGTGTGTGAGTTATGTGCATGTATGTACATGGGGGCCTGTGCGAGTATGTACAAGAGGAGAGGGTCACGGTCACAGAGGCTGGGGGCAGTGGGGCTGCTTGAGGCCAGGTCTGCTGGGGCAGAGCTCACAAGTAGATCCTCCGCAGGTCTCCAGGCGCGGTGATGGTGTTGCACTGTGGGCAGAGCTTCTTGGCACCCTGTAGGGAAAGCAGGGGAGGCTTGGCATACACACTGTGCCACAGGTTTGCACATGGGAGCATCTGGGCCTGCAGCCATGTCTTCTGGATCAGTGTGCTGGGCGCTTGGCCCTCTGTGCCCAGGCCTAGGATGCACAGGCGGCCTCTGTGAGCAGGCAGACATGCTCTGGTGCTGGGGGGACGCCAGGATCAAACCGCCTGGCCAGCCCCGCAGCGGGAGCCCCAGTAATGAGAACAAGGCTGGGTCCAGCTGTGGCTGCCTCGGCCCTAACAAGATTACACACGGCCTTTGATCAGGACACAGAGCCCACGTCCGGGCCTTTTATTGCTGTCTCCGGGCGACATTTTAATGGCTGCTCCTGAGCACAGAACAGGGGCAGGGGCAGAAGCAGGAGGAGCTGAGTATGGGAGGGGCTGAGGCCCAGGTTCTGCTTACCCACAACCAGCCTCCTCCTGACCTGGGGTCTCACCAATGTGTGTGATACTCTGGAGGTGGGGGTAGGGAGGAGGAGAAAAATCAACCCATGGTGGTGGTGGTGTTGGGGTGGGAGGGGGGGATTGGGAGGATTTAATAAGCCTATAGGGTTTGGAGGGTAGAGAGTGAATAACCTGGCTTCTGCTCTGTTCAATGTTCCTGTTCCCCACAAAGCATTGCCCAATACCCCCTCCCCCAGCCCGCTTTACCAGGGTCCGGAGCCAGCACTCCTCGCAGTGTACATGCCAACATTGGATGGACGTTAAGGGCATCGAGTATGAGTCCTAGGAAGGGGGTGAGCAGAGAAGGGGTCACTCTGAGACTGCTACCTGCTCACAAGAGCCCAGATCCCAGGGCAGAGACCCCCTCCAACCCCCAGCGGGCACTGAAGCATGGAAAACTGTCCTTGCTATGATCAAGGGTCCCCTGGGTTCCCTCCACTCACCATGCAGATGAGGCATTTGTATCGGTCCCCACGAGATAGCTGCCTTTCAAGCTCTCTGACCCGAGCCTTCAAGGCTTCAAACGTCGTCACAGCTGAATCTTCGGTGATTCTGTAAAGCGGAGAGCATGGCTGGGCGGCAGGCTGGAACCCCCATCTGAACTTCAAGCCCGTACCTCCACTGGATTCCAGAACCACATACATATATGTGTCCTACACATCCTTCCTGCTCTCCCGTATCTGCAAACTCCCTGCCTCCAAATGGAACTCTCCCTGTTCCTCCAGTAATCTACATCCTCGTGAATTTCAAAACCAGCTACCTGGGAACAATTTTAACTGTTCATTCTCAGGCACCTCCATCACCCCAAACTTGCTGCTTATCCAGGTTCCCGACTATCACTAGTCCAGGTCTGCATGATTTCTCCTATGGATTACTCCATTACCCTTCTAAACATCATCTCTGCCTCCAGGCCCATCATCTCCGCTCTGTTCTAGCAACTAAAAGAATCTGCATTCTAAAACACAAATCTCACTTCTACTTCCCAACGTTTTAATGACTCCTTCAGAGCCAAGCTCCTTGTGACCAAATTCCATCACAAGGCTTGCTGGATTCCTCAGTATCCTGCCACATACTTTATGCTCCATCCATAGTAAACAACCATCTCTACACACTCCCTCAGCCTATGCACTTTCTGCTGTCTCTGCTTGGACTGCTCCACCTCCTAACTAGCTCTGCTTCATCACTCAGGCCTACGTTAGTTCCTGCCTTCTTCCGCAAACCTTTTCCAACCTTGGCAGCCAGCACCACCACGGGTGGGCAGCCTCTTCTGTGCTCCTACACAGCACCCACAGTGCTTCTATTAGACTGAGGTCCCTGATGACCAATCTAACCCCACTGCAGTGCTAGGCCTGCACAATGAGGACACGTGTGCTGAATAAAGGGCAGTCCAACCCTCAGGGAAAGGGTGAGAGATGTGGGGACTGGATGAGTCCCTTCTAACCTAGGTCTCTGGGCACCAACTGGGTCTACCCCAAGGGCCTTGTACAAGTTCAAGCGCCTCACAAGCAAGGTCACCACAACTTTTTAAGACTCACTAGACTGCAATACTCAACATGAACTATTGAAAACTCTCTGAAGGAATGACCTGCCCACCTTTCCTAAACAAGGGAACAGGACAAAGATGGAACCAGTGCTTGGTAAGCTCACAAGAGGGAGAAAACACTTTGTGGAGTAAAAAAAGATGGTACTGGAGATGGGACTTAGGGAATAATAGTGATGCTTGTTGTTAAGTGCTGTCGAGTCAGTTCCGGTTCATAGAAACCCTATATAGGATTGCTGAGGAGTGGCCAGTGAGTTTGAAGTGCCGACCCTGCAGTGAGCAGTCCAGTGCTTATCCTACAGCACCACACCAGAACTCCAACAGTGCTAATACAAATAAAAACAGCTAATATTTACTGAGCACATACTAATGCCAGGGATGGTACTAAGGTATTAGTGAGCCTGCTGGAACAGTGCTTGACTGCTAACCAAAAGGTTGGTGGTTTGAACCCACCAGCCGCTCTGCAGGAGAAAAATGTGGCAGTCTGCTTTGGTGAAGATTTACAACCTTGGAAACCCTATGGATCACTGAGTCAGAATCGACTTGGCAGCAATGGGTTATGGGTGGGTACTGAGGAATTGAAACTATCTTACTTACTCCTCACAAAAGCCCCATGAGAAAATTCTTATATGAAGAAATAATGCACCAACAAATTAAGGAGCTTGCCCAAGATTCACAGAGTGGGGGAGGCAGGATTTATCCCCAACAGACTAATCCCATGATCAATTGTTAATGTGTGATGAACCATTAGACTGGAGATACCCAGAAGATAGATCCCCAGGTAAAGAAAACAGTAGCAACAAAGGCCAAGCGGCACATCTGGCTGGAAGGCTTGCTTGTAGGTAAGCAGAGAGTGTGAAAGTAAGAAAGGAAGTCATACCTGGGAGGACCTCTGACACCACAAGTAGGAATAGAAGTTTTATCTTACAGGCAATAGGAAGCTACTGAGGATGTTGTAAGAGGGGTGTGGTATGATAAGAGTTGGGGTTTACAAGGTGTTTCAATCAGGAAACATAGACTAGACTGAGTTATGGGTAGAGGCCAATCACAAGTGAGGTCGGATGGCCTATCTGCCTACTTGAGAGAAAAGTGGCCCAGAAGCTGGGAAGCTTACAGGCTGTCATTGCTGGATGCAAGTGGTAATGGGCTTACAGAAGAAGGCGGGTAGTGGTTAAGATGCCAGGGGCACCAACAGACTCTCATCTCTGACCTTTCTCTCTTGGGGTGCGTTAGCAGCACCACAGAATGTGACTCCTAAAGACTGTCCCAGGATCAGAAATGCTCTAGAAACTCATCACTCCATGGTCTGTGATTCTCTCTGCCCTGCCTTTCTCAGGAACTGAGAGAGGACCTAATGCCAACTCCTCCCAGGCAGCCTTTCAGCTCTGGAGCCTTTATACCCCCACCCTCATCACAAGTACCTGCACAGTTGGCTCCTTCCCTGCATTTTGCCCTTGTTGTTAGGTGCCGTCGAGTCAATTCTGACTCCTAGCACCCTTATGCACAACAGAAGGAAACAGCGTCCAGTCCTGTGCCATCTTTGCAGTCATTGCAATCACTGCTGCTACTATTGTGTTAATCCATGTAACTGGAAGTCTTCCTGTTTTTCTCTGACCCTCCATGATGTCCTTCTCCAGGGAATGGTTCCTCATGATGATATATCTGAAGTCCCACCATCCTGACCTCCAACAAAGATTTGTTTCATCTTCTAGCAGTCCATGGTACTTTCAATATTCTCCAACACCATAACCTAAATGTATGAATTCTACCGTCTTCCTTATTCACTGTCTAACTTTCACATGCATATGAGGCTGTTGAAAATATCATGGTTTGGGTGAGGTGTACCTTAGTCCTCAAACTGACATCTTTGCTCTTGAACACTTTTTCAGCAAACAAGGTTGTATCATCTGCATACTGCAGGTTGTTAATGAGTCTCCTTATTAACACTGAATCCAGCTTCTCAGATTTGCTCAGCACAGACTAAGTATAGTGGAAGACTATAACCCTGGTGCACATCTTTCCTTAGGCAGGCCATATGTTCCATCCCCATCTGTAATGCTGGCGACAGGAGGCCACCGATGCTCCCACCCGCTCTAAGGACCAGACTGCTGAGGGCAAGTGGTTATTTCAAAGATGGGGAAGCTTAGACCTGGAGCTGGCAGTCTACGCCAGAGTGGAGAACTAACTTCCAAACCCCAAACCAAATAATAAGAGTCAGAAAGTATGAAAAGATGGGCCCAGTAAAGAATGAAGAACTAAGACATTTCTTACTCCTACAAGAGTTGTAAGGTCACCAAACCCAAATAGCAAACCCACTGGTGCCAAGTTGATTCTAACTAAAATGACTCTGTAGGATAAGAGAGCTACTCCATAGAGTTCTCAAGGTTGAAGATCTTTAAGGAAGCAAACTGCCACTTCTTTCTTTCTTCTGTGGAGCAACTAGTGGGTTCAAACCACTGACCTTTCAGTTAGCCATTAAGCACTTAACCAAGGAACCACCAGGGCTCCTTATAAAAGATCACACCAAAGCCAATACCCTGGGGTAGATCCAGAGGAAAAGCACTGGATTGCAAAGTTGACAGTTCAAACTTACCAGCTGTTCCTCAGAAACCCTATTCAGGGTCACTGAGTTGGAACTGACTCTGCCGCACTTAGCAACAACAAAGCCAATATCCAACTCCAGAGCCCACTCTATTCTGGATTTGCTCAGCACATACCTGGCCCCTAATCTTTGCTCTGGCAAATAACCAATCCTGTAGCCTTTAACCCAGGCTGGTCAGGAGCTATTTTTGGGCTCCAAGTTGAATTACTAAATAAACAAGGTAAGCTCAAGCTTATTTGTGCTTATTTACTAGTCAGTAGTGAACACTTTCACCTTTTTTTCACCACATCAAAGATTCTGCTAGGTCTGGCTGGCATCTGTATCTCTCCCATCCCTACAGCACCTTCCTACATAATCTGTTTCGTTTACATCCATGATGGGCAGAGTACATGTTTTTCACATTTCATATCTGTGGTAAAAAACATAGAGCTCTTCACTACAGATTAGTAAGTAAGCACAAGTCAGCCCATGCTTATGTTACTGGGTAATCTGACCCTGTCTGGGTCCCTCAAGGACACAGGTGGCCAATTCCTGGAGCAAGCCTGGCATCCCCTTTACCCTTCCCTAGGCTGGAAAACAACCCTCCCTCTGTGGACCAGGGAGAAGCTGTAGAGACTGAAAGCCCCCAATTTTGGCAGATCCAGGCCCAAGGGAGTCAGTGCAAGTGACAGAACCAGTTCTCACCTCATCCTAGAGCACTCTGCCCACTTAGTCCCTGTGCTCACACAGGTGGGACAGAAATCCTGACGTCCCCCAAGCCTGGGGTGGGTAGTAGCTTCATGGATGGCCACTGGCTCTGGCCCCCACCTCCCCCTTGGGCGCCATCCCTGATTAATGATCTTGTCTTTCTGATTTATGAGCAGCCCCTCCAGACGAGGGTGGGCGCCCGTTACGGCCCCGCCTAGCTGGAGTAGGAGAGAATTATTAAATAAACATCCATACGTCATTCCTCCCCCCCAAAGCTGGTTGCGCCGAAACCCATGCGGCCCGCTCCAGCGCTGACACGGAGCAGCTGCGGTGATTCATGGGCAGCCGGGCCCCGTGCCTCGGCCCATACATCATGCCAGCAGCACTCGTGGCCCCGGCCGAGATAAACTGATCAACCACAACGGGCTGGAATGAATTTATGACAACACAAAATGGAGGGAAACAAATGGGAGGTGACCCTGGGCCACCGACCCAGCCCTGCACCGGCCTGCGATCCACTCTGCTGGCAGGAGGCAAGATGGGACACTGGCCCTAGAATGAAGAGAGACTGCCTTTTAACCCCAAGCAGCCTAGCTCCCAGAGAGTGTGTGCAGTGAGTTAAACACCGGCCAACAGCAGTAGCTCCAGGGAGCCTGCACTGGGCAATGCCACCTCCTGGGGCCTGAACTGGCCTTGCCTGGGCTTCTGGAAAGGGAGTGCAGTGCCCACCTGATTTCAAGTCTTTGTGGTTCCTAAAAATCCAGGCCAGAGGCTGCCCAGGCCTATCTGGAGGGCTAATGGAACCCCTCCTCCCCTGCCAGAGAACCCAGGTCAAAAATTCCTACCAGAAGTGATGAGACCCGATGCTCCTGCCTAAAATCCACTGCGAGCGCCTCCCGGGACAAGAAAAATGAAACCAATTTAGCTCCCGATTAAGAAACAGAAACTGGAGATGAATCAAGTGCGCCGGCTGGGCTGGGCGGCCATACATCACATTCCCCGGGTGGAGGCCGCCACAGCGGGCAGGCAGGCAAGCGGACTACTCCTCCCTCCGCCAAGGCTCCCGGGGCCGTGGCCCAACGATCAATTCACGGAGTCACGCTTAGCACCAGCTGGGCCCCACAGCCGGCTGTATGCCCAGGGCTGCAGGACTAAGCTGCACTCTGGAGAAGCCAGAAGCCCTGGCAGTAGGTCTGTTAGCAAAGAGTCCCCCTTTTCCTTCCCACTGAACTGCTGCCCCATGGGCCCCTCCCTGGCTGCCCACACTCACTTCTCGATGTCACTATTCTTACAGGTCTTCTGCATGGTCTCCTGCTTGCTGCTCTCACCGTTGCTGGTGGATGGCATCTCTGCTGGAACACGATGGCCAGACTGGGTTACACAGGTGAGGGGCTGGGCTGGAGTTAGACCCACCATCCAGAAATGCTATCTGTCTCCCCAGCCCCACTGCTCCTAACCTGGGGTAGGACTTACCGTCACTGGCCCATTTAGAGAACTCAGGTGTGATGCGTGTACTGGGAGTACCTCCACTAGAAGGAAGGAAGGAAGGAGAAAGGACAAAATAAGCCCTGAAGGCAGGTGGGACAGCCCTGAGGCTGGTTACTGGCTGAATCCAGCCTCAGGGATTCCCACCCCTCCCTAGGCTGTGCCCACACTTGCTTTAGGACTGCACCCCGGAGTGCCTCTCTCTCCTTGGCTTCACCAGGCTCCTCGCCTGTGCAGGGGATGACGTCAGCCTCCGTGTATCTGGCATGGTGGTCAAGGACAATGGATCTTAGTTTGTAGTAGGCCATGCGGGCTGAATCCCAAGGAGGGCTAGCGGTCCCAGGCCAAAGCTACAAGACTCTGGCCCAGGATGCGGTGGCAAGCACTAGAGGTGCTAGCTACTTTTCTTATTCCCCTTGGCTTGTCCTACCAGCCCCCAAGGATACTGTGGCTTCCCATACTCCAGAGTGTCATCCCCATCCACGTCCAAGTCAGCATCACTGTCCGGGTTCTCTTTACCGCTGCACATGACGAAGCCAGAGCCTGTGGGAAGCAGGGGGTAAGGAAGGTCAAGGACCAACATGAGCAGAGTCAAAGGTACTCCTTCTGCTACTCTGAGGTAGGGGTTGGGTTTTAGGTCAGAAAACTTGGGCCTGGATCCTAGACGCTGACATTTCAGTCCTCATGCTGCACACCTCATCCTTCTCTGCCTGCTGCTCCAAACGGTCTCTTGCTCATAAACCAGACCCTTCCAAACTGTGTCAGGTCCTCAGGAGACAGCTAGTTCCAGGCCTGCTGCCCACCCGCCCTCCAGGTCTAGGAAGAGCAAGAAGAGGACAGAGACATTCAGGTCTAATAGGTCACCCCCATTCAGGACCTAGATCTGTTTCCCACTGTCCAGCCTGAAAAGTCTACCAAAGGGGAGAACAAGCTGGTTAAGGCCAGTCAGAGCGAGACCCCCAGGCAGCATCCTGAGTTTGGCCGCCAGGTCCTTGCCAGCAAAAACTCCAGGCAGCTGTTCAAATATTTGGTGTCTGAAGCGCCTGACATTAATTATTCATCTCCACCTCACTCAGCCCAGATTCCTGGACAAGTGCAGTGAGAAGGGATTAGGAAGGACAGATGAGGGAGGCTAGGCATGCACACCTGCTTCTCAAAAAAGTCCATGAAGGCAGTCTGGCTCAACTGAGGAAGGGTGAAGGGCCGCGCAGCTGCTGACCCCACCAAAATGCAAGTGGCATAGCCACAGGCAGAGTCTTAACTAATGAGGAATGGTGAGCTGTTAAGGGTACACCAGGCCCACTAGCCTGCTATGCAGTCTCTCTGAATCCAGGACCACCCATTCTCATACCAAGGGCCAAGGGCCACAGAATTTCTTGCCTCCTTCCCTCCCACCCTTCCAGCAGGTCTCAGACCACATCCCCCAGCTTAGCAGCTTTGCCAGGGACACAGAGAGGAACAGATAGAATCTGTAATGAGTGAGTTCAGCAAGGAAATCCTTAAAGATGCCAGAGAGCAGCTCAGGATTCTTTTTGCCTGGTGATCTCAGAAAAGTCTTCTTGTCCATGCTTACAGGTCCTTGTAATGGGTCTTTCAGGCCCTTGTCTGCTCCTTCATCCTGCTCACCATAGTCTGGCCCTTCTATTCTCTGTCCAAAACACTGTTTATGGCTCCCCTGAATGAACAGACAATTCTGCCTAGGTTCCTCAGCCTGATCCCTTCAGACCTGGATGCAGCTGACTTCTCCATTCTCACCCTTTTCCTCTCTTCACTATATGCATATGGACAGACAGACTCACTGCACTTCAGATGTACCCTCCATGTTTTGCTCTTAGACCTCTGTTAATGCTGTTCACGCCATCTGGAATGTTCTCCATCTTTTAAGCTCATTTCAAAGACTCTTTATTGAAGCACTTTCTTCTGACCCTTCTTCCCTTCTGGTCTTCAGTCTCAAGAGGGTTCCACCCACCCCAGGAACAGGAAGCACCAGACCAAGGAGAGAAAGTAACTAGGTACTGCCTGGCTCCGCCCCGTCCCTGACAGTCCTCATTTCCCCCCTAGGCACAGGCACCAACAAACTTAAGGCAGCAGGCAGGTCAGCAGCAGGGCCATTAAGCTGAGAAAACACCAAGTTACAGCTCTGTCTCCTGCTCACGGCCAGGTGTCCTGACAAGCAATTCCCACCTTATAGGTGAGTGGCACCTCTATAAACCCTCCGACAGTTTGGGAGACAAACTCTGCCATCAATCAGAATGTAGCTATCAGGTTCACTTACAGCCTGCGCCCCCGAGTCCTGCCAAGCCCCCCTTCCCCAAGTACATGCAGCTCAGCTTGGCTCAGCATGGCCCTGCCTTGTGTGTGAGAAAAAGGAACGCAGCGAACCGACACCCTGTATGGCTCCCGTGTCAAAGCAGAGAGAACAGAACACCCAAAAGCTGCCAGGAAGAGTCCCAGCTTCTGTGGCCTGAGATCCTGTCCACTGCAGTCTTACTACCTGTTACCCCTCAGCCAGGGCTCTTACTCCTGTGGAAGAGCTATCACAGCTTCCTAAATCTTCCTTGCGTTCTCAGGCTCCCATCTCCTTCAGGCTTCCTGTGCTATCTGCCTGGAACCCCAACTCTCCTGGTCTGCAAAACAAATGCCTGCTCATTTTTCAAGTATGACTCAAACATGCCTTCTGCTGTTAATTCAAGAGTGCCTGCACACTATAGTTGCTCTACTTGCTGGGTGCACTGAACTCTCACCTCAATGACATTCTTCCAACCTTTATTGAGTTCAGCCCCTGGTTTGGTGTTGTGACAGGGCTTCCAAGTGGGACATTTTGGTTCAACCCCATGTATTTGTGCCTTTCCACCCCAGATATGGAGTCCTGGTGTGGCGCTGTGGGCTAATGCGTCAGACTGCAAAGTCGTTTGGACTGCAACATTGGTGGTTCAAGCTCACCAGCTGCTCCTTGGAAACGCTATACAGGGTCGCTATGGGTCGGAATCGACTCGATGGCACTTAACAACAACCACCCCAGATATATTGAGTCAGAATTTACATTTTTAATCAGATCCCCAGGTAATTCTTATTGTCTACATAAGAATCTATAGGCATCACCTGGGGATCTGGTTAAACTGTAGATTCTGATTCAGTATATCTAGGGTGGAAAGGCAAAATCTCAGCAGGAGTTGAACTGGTTCGAAGCTCTGGTTGTGAAGTTTCAAGATCTGGCCATCCCCTTACAGTGCTGAACAGATGAGAATGCCCCAGGTACTTACACACAGGTGTCCTTTTCTTGGCACCTTTCCAGATTCCTGTTTCATTCTAAGATTCCATTTAGTACCATGTATTTTCATTGACCCTCACCAGACTAAAAACTTTTAAAAGGTAGGTCCCAAGTCTGATTCACGGTTGTGTTCCCAACATCACCCAATAGCCAGATGGCCAGGTCTACAGCAGATGCCACACCACAGCTCCCAGCAGTACTGGCTAAATGCTGGCAACACCGTTCTACTAGGGTCTGAGGGGTCCTGTGGCAGAAGGCAGGTTGAGAAAACCTCTCAGGACATAACCTTCCTTTTCCTATCTGACCCCAGCTGGGCAGCAGCCTTCTGCTCAACTGAGCAGTCAGGTAGGGAAGAGCATGGCATAGATTGCTTACCAAGGAAAAGACCTCTCTGCCTCTGGCTGAAGCTGTGGACTTAGACCTGACCCCTTGCCCCGGCTGAGACAGATGTTGGGAATCTCTTCCTATCCCACAGGTGTTCAGAACAGGCGGCTGCCACCAATTTCACTCTTGTGCAGCCCCAGCCTGCTCCAACCTCCTTCCCAGCACATTAAACTTTATTTTCTTAATGAAATGTCACTTGCTGACTTCTGGCAGAATCATAATAAAAAGAAACGGCCATAAAGCCGTTTTATGCAGACGGTGCCCCCTCCAGCTTGCCTGGAGAGGAAGGCTCCACAGCCGTTTTATGTTCTCAGCTGCTGGAATATCCCAAGCCAGTACTCAGAGGCAAGATGGCACAGAGAACTCCCTTCCAAGGCCCTGGCTCCTGTTTCATGGGGCTTCGGGGATAACAGGCAAGCTGCCACTCCTGCTGCTGCTATCCAGGGAAGGAGCGCAGCCCCTAGGGCCTCCAAGGCGACCCAGATCACACTGTAGTCACCAGGGAATCTCTCTTGCTAGGGCTCTCTCCTACCTTAAAATACAAGAGGACTTTTCATTCCATTTTCCCACAAACTTTCTGAAGCCCCCTTGTAGCACTGAGTGCTGGGCTGCCAACCACAGGCACACTAAGCCAGCTGGCCAGTGTACCGGGAGAGTGGACGCTGTGCAGAGCAGAGGGAACATCCCTTCTCTCCAAAGGTACTACACAGTACAGCATAGAAATGAAGAGGCTACATTTACAAAAATGACCCCGTGCCCATAAACTCATTTCTTCCTGGACCACCGACAAAAGGGAAACAAACAAAAATCTGTGTTAATTTAATCAATTGATTAGATGATCGATTGAGAAACTAGAGATGCCCATATACTAGGGATAGTAGCATCCTGAAACCTGAAACTACAAACAAAGGAACCATCGATTTCCTTACCTACTGCTCCCCACAAAACTAGAACCCAGAGCAAGAGGAAAGTTGGGGAGGGGAGCCCTCCAGAGGTCTGTTCTTTCCAAGGGGAGGGTAGGGGCAGCAGCTTCCAGAGAGTTTTACACTGGAATTAGTTACAGATGCGGTTCCGGTGTCTTGTGTAAACGCCATCGATTGGGGAGCTGACAGTCTGGGGAGCTGCGATGCGGGACAATCAATCGGCCTGCAGTGTCACCTGCCACCTCGCTGAACAGTTGACAATGCAATTATCCAGTGTGGAGGCAGGGAGTTGGCGTGTGTCAAACGCACTTAGCCACTTTCCGGGCCTCCTCGATAACGCGTTTCACTGCCTCACGTCAGGAGAGACGCACAGAGACAGACGCCGTTTAAAACCATTGATACTTGCTCCTTCTATCTACACTCCCTCTGTCCTGGCTTAACAATTGTGTTCTAAAGGCGATTAATTCCCCTTGTCACTTGCCACAGGGGACTAAAGGTGCCCTGCACCTTACCACCTCTCCTCACCCCTCCAACAGGCAATAGTTGTAACTACACAGAGTCTGAGGTGCAGCAGCCCTAACCCTTTCTATTCCAACACTGCCTCCAATACCTGCCCAATGACTGGACTAGCAAGGCTCTTTTTGAGCTCCTATGTTTTGTGGCCAACTCACCAAAAAAGCCAGCAGGTAGGGCAAGGTCAGTATTTCTAAGCCCTTGTGGACCCACAATACCTCCAACTTGGATGTCCCACAATCTGGCACTGCAGTTTGACCAAGAAACAGTTCAAAGATCTATACTGTAGCTGCCCAGCCTGCCCTCTCCAGACTACTTGAGCCAGCCAAAGTCTACGACAGGAACTCGAGAAAGACACAGTCTCTGGTTCTAAGGTCCAACACAGCTGGTTCTCTGCAGCACTCTTTCCTCCTCTCCCTCACCTCTACCTGTTTGATTCACAGGAGCTTAATGCTGGACTCTAGTAATGCATTCACTTCTTGCAGACACCTTCCATTTCCTGGGCAGCCTCCTGGGAAATTTCTCCACCTCATTACTCTTGGGCCCATCACTTCATTGCCAAATTATCTGAATCTAACCACTCCCACATCCTCTCTCTAGCCACTCCCTGCTAGATATGATCATGGTGCCATGAGAGGCCTGGGTTTGCCAAATCCAGTTGGTGAAGTCTCACTAGCAAGTTATACTGGGTAGGGATCAAGGTCTCTTCTCTAGGATCCAGGTGTTGGGTGTAGGAAATGAAGGGAAAGGCATGGCTCCTTGGTCACATACCTCACTTGACTACAGCAGGGGCAGGTTTCCCCTGTGGCTGCTCTGCGAGGTTCAGCATGGTGCATGTTCCTTCTCCTAACTTTGATCACTTTGAGAGGAGTGTTAGGGGAGTACTAGTTTCTGTGTCTTCCCTTTACAACTCTGGTTGGGAGAAAGAGAGCAGCAGCATGCTAGACAACCTACAATCCTGGGGGTGAAATCAACAGCTGGGCTCACAGCTCAGAATTTCTCCTAGAACTGGAAAGTGTAGAGCATCTGTCTTCTGTTGTGGTTGCTCCTATTAAGCGCCGCTGAGTCAATTCCAATTCACAGCAACCCTGCATAGGGTTTCCAATGAGCAGCAAACTGCCAACTTTGTGGTTAGCAGTCCAATGCTTATTCTATGGCATCACCCCAAAATTTCTGCCTACGTGCTCTCTTGACATCTTTACCTGTTTCTTAGTTCCTTTTCCCAAGATGTCTGGGTGAAAACTTGCTCTAAAAGCCATTTACTGGATAGCTTTTGGGAAAGCATACCACAAAACCAAAAGGCTGTTGCTAACTCCTTGAAATCTTGGAATGAGATCCTCACCTCCAGCTGCTCTACCTGAGGCACCACCAGCTACTGGGCTTACTACAAGACCAACATGGCCAAGGCTGGCTTAGTGAATGACTTTGAGAAGAAGTTTAAAGCCCTGAAGATCCTAGTGCCAGAAGATAAATGTATTGCCCTGGTGGACGCTGAAGAAAATGATGTGAAAAGTTGTGCTGAGTCTGTGTCTCTTTCAGAGTAGGATTGGAGAATACGAGAATCAACTAGAGAAGATGAAGCACATTTTTCCACTTGACGCGATGACCACTGATGACTTGAACAAAGTCTTCCCTGAAACCAAACTAGACAAGACCAAGTATCCCTACTGGCCTCATCAGCCAGCTGAAATTTTTTAAAATTGAGCCGGAGAGGAAGCTCTGGCCCTGGTATGACAAATGCTGAACATTAAAAATGCAAAACTGTTAAAAAGAAAAAATCTTCTTCCAGCTGTATCTCTAACAGCATGTTCTACCAGACCCTTTGTCCCTAAACACCAATCTCCAGTACTCCTAGGCCTGAGAGATCTGAGCTTCCCCTCGGTGACCGTGGTCCCCATTTTTAAGGCCTGGTATCCTCGGCCAAGTGTCTCCAGCAAGCCTTCCACAACATATTACATTCAAGGGAACCAATTTGATCCAAGAGACCAGCTTCCAAGAACCTAGTGGGAAGCTTTACTGAGGATGACGAAGGAGCCTTGGTCTGGAGGATAAAAAGGGGATGATCGGATAGAGGAACTTATCTGCAATTCTTCAATTCTTTCATATCTAACAAGGACAGCAATCTCTGTTCTGTCAGCACGCACAGCGCAACTTAAATGGGCCTCACTGCTCGCCTGCCCATCCTGCCTCTGCCTCCCTCTCTCTGAAGTCTGCTGGGCAGCTTCTTCAGCCGGCGTTATCACTCCCTCTAACCGGTCTTGGCAGGCAATCTAATTCCTCCTGAAAAGGTCACCGCCATTTTAACTGCCTTTCAATCACATTAAGCACGCACTACCCGGCTTGCGGCCCAGCCCACCCGGCGGGCGATCAATGCACTGCATTGACACCAACCTGCCTGGTGGGGCCACACCCAGCCCCCCAAGAGTTGGGGCCTTTTGGTGCTGGCCAGGGAGGGTAGACTGACAGATGGCCAGCTTCTGCAGACAGAGTTCTGGGGGCTGAGGCAGTCAGGATCAGCTGGCCTCCCTTTGATAGCCACCGCCCCCCACAACCGAGGAGCCTCAGCCTCCCCCGCTCCACTGCGCCCTGCTCTCTGTCTCATGGCCCCCGCTGGTCTTGCTGTAAAACAGCCTTTCAAGTCTGCCTGTCTTTTGACTGCACTAAGCTGTTTAAGGGGCGGCAGCAGCTTCTATCAGGAAAGCTGGAGCAATTCTCTGCAGATAAAGGCACCTCCGGCCCCTGTTCCCTCTTCAAGTTTCACTCTCATCCTCGCTCTCCGAATCACTCAAAGAAAAGGCCCCTTTGAACTCCCCTCAGGAATTCTTGAAAGGAACCACCTCATAGTGTACACACTCAAGGAAAACTGACACCCGCCCAGGGCCTAAGAGCCCCTCACACCCGCTCGGCAGGTGCATCCCGGCACAGGAGAAATACTTTGTTGAAGCAGCAGGTCAGATGCAGCTTCATCCCCCTTCAGCCTTTGCTCTGGGGTCCAGAAGTCATCAGGCCCAGTGCTATGCCAAGAAACCTGACTAGAAATTGCCACAGTAATGGAAGGTGAAAAGAGCTGCCAACGGAGCGGACTTGGAGCAGCATCCTGGAATTGACCCTGCATGGGTGCCATCAGCCACCTGTGTGAATACCTTGTGAGGATTCTGGGCTCTGCTGCTCATCTTCCTAGGGCCAGTGATAAACTCAAATTCCTGGACAGGCCTGAAGTGAATTCTTCAGTTCAGGAGGAAGGCTTAGGGAAACTGTTTGGTTTGACTAGCCTTCCTGTTTACACCTGTGCTTGCCCCAACAGCTTGGGTAACTGAGACACATAATGCCCCACATGGGCTCATCACTACTTCCTTTAGCCAGTCTGCACTGGAGACCACTCCTCAGCACAAGCCCAAGCCGCATGGCTCCAAGGAGGCAGAGACTGGCTTCCCAGCTGCGGTGAATCCCCAGGGACCAGAGACAGCAGCACTCCCAAGGGTGCTGCCCAGAGAATTGGAGGCAGACGGGAAGCAGATTGGATCCCTTAATGACCACAAGCTGCAGTACCAGATGTGCTTGTGCACAGAAAGTGAAGAGCTGGAGGCCAGGAGGTAGGCAGCTCCCCTCTTGCCTGCCTAAGTATGACAGAGGCTACTACTAACCCTGGGTACCGGATTTCCACTGGGCCATGCCACAGCCCTCTGAGGAGCTGGAAGGGCACTGGAGATGGGCAGAGCCCAGCAGACCTCTCTGCAGCAATTAGGGAGAACCCAAGGGAAGTAGGGAGCAGCTGGGCCCAGGCCCCTCTTGCTGCAGGGCAGAAGGCGCCCAGGGAGAAGGGATGGGATCAGAGCTAGAATTAGATTCACCAATAAAGCTCATGGGAGGTCAAATTTTGCCATAACTCACTCTCTCCCCTGTAACTGATTTCCCTGATGTGGGGCTGAGGAGGAGGAGGAAAATCCAATGTGTTTGCCTGGAAGCCCTTAGGGCCCCCAGTGCTGGAGGTGTACAGCAGGTTGCTGGATTCTCATTTATCAGCCTTAAGAGGGATGGAGTGATAAATGCATAACCGTCCCTTTAATATTTTATGCAGGTGCCAAAGCGGCTTGGCTGTCACCTTCAATGCATCACCGGAGGCTGAGAGCCCCCCTCGTCATTGCTAGCTTACAGCCCCACAATTCCATTTCCCCACCCAAATACATCCATTTTAATATGCACATCACAGGCAGGCAGCACGGCCACAAAGCAGCCCCACCAGTAGCAGTACCCACGTGGTGGAACGGATGACCAGTCACTAGCCTGGCCTCTTGGTCCCAGACAGATGGATACCCAGCAGAGGCAAGGCCACCAGAGGGCCACTGCCTAGATCAGCCGCTTGTACCTCGGAAGCCTCCTTCCAGGAGAGTGGTGGCCCGTATCCGCTTCTGCCCGCACCACTCATACTCCTCAAAGCGGTTGCTGTTCTCATGCTCGATGTCCACAGCATCATCCTCAGTCAGGCAGGAGCCTTCCCTCTGGGAAGAGCAGAGCAGGATCATGTGGGGCCCAGAACAACACTACCTGCCCCGCCCCTCAAACCAGCAAGGAAGGCAGAGCCCTGAACCCAGCTGCATTGTGCCATATGGGCCCATGGTTCTAGAACTCCTTTAAAGGAAAACCAATCAAGAGATCAAAGACTTGGCCCTCTTCCCAATAGTATTCCACTGGACCCAGGGGGAATGGAAGAAAGTGAAAGCAAAAGAGGGCAAAGGACAGAGAGCAAGAAGCTGCTGAGACCATACAGAGACCCCAACAGCCCATAGATCGGGGAGGAGTCTGCAGCTAGTGTTAGGGGAGGGAAGAGAGGGACGGGAGGGTGGTGGCCCCTCTACCTTAGAAAGGCAACGCTCCACATGCCTACTCATCTCCTGCTCCGATCCTGCCAGGGGGCGGTTGCACAGGGGACATACCTGCCCTTCATCTTGCTTCCTCCGTTTCATTTTCCCAATCCGAGCTGCATGGAGAAACCGAAAACAAAGCATAGGACAGGCAGTTGGTCACTATAGCTCCCGGGCCCCAATGGGGCTGACACAACCTGACTGCCTGCTACCCATTAGTCCCTTTGTCCAGTGCCTGATATGGCTCGTATTTTGTAGCACTTTCTTCCTTGGTGATTAGGTCTTGCCAAGAGCACCTGAGAAATAAACTGGTGCTAGGCCAGGGTGGCAGCTGTTCTCTGGCCATGGCCAACTCAAACTTAGCCAGCATCATCCTATCTGCAGCATTCAGTGAGCCCAACGAGCAAAGATACTCCATGTTGCTAGCTATCTCCTGGGAAGTCCAAGACCATGAGTTCTTGCAGCTCTAGAGAACAGTTCTTGGCTACAGCCAAGGCCCTTCCAAGGATCTGATATGGCTTGTTGTCCATTTATCAGCTGAAATGTCTACTGGGCCAAGAGCTCTTGAGGTACAGTCATTAAGTCCTACCTAGAATCACTCCAAGAGGAATTTCTCTGAGGTCCACTGATCCCGTTTTACAGGAGAGGAGACTGAGGCCCAGACATCAAGGCATACCAGAGGGCTGGGTCAGGCCTTGGGCAGTCCGGTCAGGGGGCCGAGGGCACCTTGAGAAGGCAGCCCTTACTGTGCGATCCAAACCTGTTCCATCATTTCTAATCAGTGCACAGGGGCTGGCAGGTCCCAGAGGCAGAGGGCTGCCTGCCATGCTGTCCCGCAGGGGGCTCAGTTCCAAAGTGCACACTGCAAGCCCACAGCACTGCTAATTAATGCTGAGAGATGCAATCATTTCTAATTAGCTCACTAATCCCTCTCTGCAGCCCTCCTGTCACTGAAGTAGGAAGGGGTCAAAACAAGGGACTCTGTTCCCTCTAGCCCCTCCCGGTACAGCAGCAGGATCAGAGTTGCCCACTCGGGCCAGATTGATAGGACTGGGGGAGGGGACGAGCTTGCCAAGGAGGAAAAGGTTCCTCCACTGCAGAGCTAGGAATAGCTTTCTCTTGGGTACTGACCCTGATGTAAAGTGATGGGACACTCATGAACGCAGTACAGGGATGGGGACACAGGTGAGAGTGGATACGTTACAATTCACAGAGCTTCCTTGCACTGTGTTAGGCTTGAAGCCAATTATTTTACACAAGGTAGTTCATTTCATTCTTTTATCCTGAAGCTAGGTTTCATGGCCACATTTTAACAGATGCAGAAACCTGGTGCTCATAGTCAATTGTCCAAGTACATGAAAACTGTCAAAGGCAAGAAAGAACCAATTTGCTAGCCTCAACTATCAACACTCATGGAAGCGGCAGTCAAGAAATCAGACGACATATTGCATTAGGCAAATCTGCTGCACCAGACCTTTTTAAAGTGTTGAAGAGCAAAGATGTCAGCTTGAGGACTAAGGTGCGCCTGACCCAAGCCATGGTATTTTCAATAACCTCATATGCATGTGAAAGCTGGACAGTGAATAAGGAAGACCGTAGAAGAATTGATGCTTTTGAGTTATAGTGTTAGAGAAGAATATTGAAAGTGCTATGGGCTGCCAAAAGAACCAATAGATCCGTTTTGGAAGAAGTGCAGCCAGAGTACTCCTTGGAGGCCAACATGGCCAAACTTCGTCTCTCATACTTCGGACATATTGTTAGGAGGGACCAGATGCTGGAGAAGGATGACATGTTTGGTAAGGTGGAGGGTCAGAGAAAAAGATGAAGACCCCCAATGAGATGGATTGGCCAAGTGGCAGCATCAATGGGCTCAAGTGTGGCAACAGTAGTGAGGTTGGCCCAGGATCGGGCAGTATTTCGTTCTGCTATGCATAAGGTCGCTATGAGTCAGTACCGACTCGATGGCACCTAACAACAATCGCCACAGCTTTGAATACTCATGGTCACACTCATCCCCCTTTAACGGATGGTTCTGTAACATTTGGAATCTCAGGCTCAAGCAGCCTTGATACTTTAGAGCCAAGGCTGGGATGGAGAAGAGATGCTAGATATCAGAAGGAGACTGAGCAAGAGCCTCTGAGTGTTCTAGAAGTGTAGTCAGGATCACTGTGCCAATACGAAGGTCTCTCACCTACCCTGCTTCAGTCTGATGAAGTGCCACCCCTGATAAGAAGGAGCTTATAAGACATTGTTTGATGAGTGAATAAAGAAACTTCAGAGAACAACTGCCAAGGAGCACACAATATGAGATTACCAGCTATTCCACGGAAAAAGAGGAGGCTTTCTACTCCTGTAAAGATTTACAGCCTTGGAAACCGTACAGAGTTGCTATGAGTCAGAACCGACTCCACGGCATATAACCAACCAACCAGCTTCCTTGCCTAGGATATCTAGGGAGAGGAAGATCTGTGAGTCCCAGGAAAACACCTTGATGGACATAAGATTCACCTGGAAATTGTCAGCCAAGCAAGGCAGGCTTGGTTTTTCTCTCCCCGTTCGTCTTCTAAGTTCTGAACAAGCTTACTAAAGCTTGGTAGGGAAAGTTTTGCTCCCTAAGTTATCTAGAGGATAGTCACTTCATTCTGAAGTCAAAGTATTTGCCAAAGTTGCATGGCAAAAATCAGCGAAGCAGACCCTGACCCAGCTAAGTAAACATCCCATCTGTGTGAATTTAAATAAATCACCTTCGTCTTGGTTTCCTTATCTACAAAACGTGTGTTGTGACAACAGTGCTTCTCATGGTGCCAGCCCATAATGAGTACTCTTGCTTTCTCAGATTAGGGTCCAGCTTGGTAGTAGAAATCAACTGGCAGGAGTTAGGGATCTTGGATGTCCAGCTGGTCCAGAGACCCTAAGCCTCTTCTGGCCAACCCTCAGATATACCACCCCTCAGTCAGCACAAAAAGGATCATTCAATTGTGTTCTGCAAACAGTAATGCTCCAGAGGTTTGAATCCAAAAGGGAGGGGCCTCCAGGTAGTGCAAACACAGCCTGCTTTCAGAGAAGGCCTCTAAGAGCTGTCGGCCCACGCTGATCACCTTTGTGAAATGTGGGCCGACTGATAACTCAAAGAGCCCTGGGATGAGTAAGTTCCTGTTGCCGTGGGAACTCCAGATCTCACTGCATTGTCAAGTCTCAGCAGAGAGGCTGTATTCATACTACTGGGCACTGATTAAAAACTAGGAAGAAAAACATTCCCAGCACCCTGCCGGCTTGTACAGTGAGGTCCCAGCAGTCTGCAAATTCAAAGCTGAGTTATCAAGTGGAATTGTGCAGCTTGTTCCTCGTTTTCTGGCACTTATTGCCTCCCCCTTCCTTCCCGCCTCCCCCCCCCACCCCGCCCCCAGGGTTCTTCAGGGCCTTTAGATAGGCTTGGGCAAGAGCAAGGAACCATAACCTCCATTAGACAGATGGGGAAACTGAGGGCAGTCGCGTTGGATTGCACAAACCCACCCATGGGCCTTGACTGCGAAGAAGCCAAGGGACCCCAAAGTCAAAGAGACCCAGACTACCAAGAGCTACACGGAGTGAGGGAGGGAGGAGAACGGGGGTGGAGCGGAGGGAGGGGCCGGCAGGACTCACCATTCAGTCGGGTCTGCCGGTTGGCTCGCACTCGTAGGAAGGTCTGGGAGAAGATCCCGAGAAGATGCGGGAAAAAAAACAACAAAAAAACAAGACCGTCAGGCGCAGCCTGGAGTCCTGACCCCGACCCCGACCCCCATCCAGGCCTGCCCCGTTCCAAACAACCCGTAAACAAACCTACTTCCTCCCTCCCGCCGGACCCCCTGCTCCGCCGGCCGCTCCGAGCCCTCGGCATAGCCGCCGGGGGCTGCTCTAGTGGGACCCCGTAGCCACCGCGCGATGCCGCCCCAGCCCCGGCCTTCGGCGCTCTGGGCCCAGCGGCCGCCCGGCCGGCGAGGGCGGCGATGCGGGCGGATTCCCCCCGGCTGCCCGGCGGCGGCGGCGCCTCAGCTCCCAAGAGCGGCGGCGGCCATGTTGGCCTTGATCACGTGACCCGCTGCCGCCGCGCGCGAGGGTGAAAGTTCACGGGGGAAGGCGGGGGTGACAAGATTGGGACTAGGAAACGACCGCTAGTCCTCCGGTAGCAACCGGCTGGGGCCGCTCCAGGGTCCCTCCCACAGCCCGCAAAGCCAACCCGCCCCAGGTTTAACGGTTGCTAGGCCCTCCCACCTTACCCCGTGCCCCCTCCCCCTGTAAGCTCCTTCCTCCCCAGAGCCCGGGCCCTAACTTCAGATTCTGGGACGCTGCCTTAGGGTTAAGGCGCTGAGGCTAACAAGAGGCATAGTGATTCGGGGTCTCCCACGGGCGATCCCACCGCAAGCTCCCAACAGCAGTCCCCAGTTTAGCCCATCTGCAGTTCCTTTAAAGGATTCCCTACATTTCAGCTGCCTGCTGAACATCTGGAGCGCCCACCGGCACTGCCTTATCCATGCTGCCACCACTGAACTCAGCAACCTTCAAACAAGAGCCTGCCTCTTGGGTGCCCATTTTAGTAGGAGATAACGCCACACACTCAAACTTGAGTCATCCTGACCCCGCTCTTCATCCTGCACATTTAGCCCTCCACCAGATCCTGCAGATTCTACCTTTAATCCTCTTTTAAATCTCATCTCAACCTCTGTGTATCTCTTATTCTTTCAGGCCTAATTTTTAAAACAATAACTTTCCTTTCCTCGATAGTACTTTCTTCTTTGTATCTCCATTATATCTTGAATAATGTAGCGTAGTGGTTACGAATTGGGCTGCTAATCTCAGGGTCAGCAGTTGGAAAATACCAGCTGTTCCGCGGGACAAAGATGAGGCTTTCTGCTCCCGGAAAGATTTACAGCCTCGGAAAACCCTGTACAGGGTCGCTATTAGTTGGAACCGACTCCACAGCACATAACCACCACCACCACCAATCTTTATCCATGGACTGACCACTCCAGAATTGGGTGAACCAACTGGGTGAACTCAGAGACCCACATAGTGCTTGACATCCTTGAAAGTTTCTTCGATGGCTGTACCAACCTGTGGTCACCGCTGTAGTTCATAATATTATGAGCTATCTAAATTTGCAGCTGCTTCCCACCTGGTCTTTTAATCCATAGTTTCCCTGCAACTCTTCTTCCATAATACATACAGTGATACCCTCCTAGGCTTAATTTTGTAGAATAGTACAAAATGAAAACTGTCTCCTCAAATTAGTGGATCTCCTGGAAGATCTCCAAACATGGCCTACCTATTTTTCCAGGCTCTTCTTTTACCATTCCTAGTCTCTCTCCCTTTGCCTTCCTGACACTGCCTTGTAGAGCGACTTACAGCTCTTTGAGCATGCTATGCTCTGGCTTCTGGGCCATATTATCTTCCATGTATCCATATCTCCTGCTTGGTTAACTGTTGTTCATCCTTCAGAACTGTAGAAAGGCTTCACTTTCCCCCCAAGGTTGGGTAAGTTGCCTCCTCTGAATGTCATAGTCCCTTGGCTTCCCCTTGATCATGTTTACTTACCTATCCCTTCTACTTGGGAGACCTTTATCCAGTCATCCAGCCAAGGCCTAGCATGAAGGGGTCACCACCAGTGGGAAGGGGACAGTGATATTCATGAAAGAATGAAGAGGGTGAACGGCTTGCATCCCCAGGTCTCTAAGTAAGGGTACCAGGGGCTCACTTGCAGAAGGTCTGATGATTCTTTTTCTTTCATAGATTGTCTAGACCACGCTCAGGATCCTTCTTGCCTTTCTTGGTTTATCGCTCACTGTTAAGCTAAATATCTTCTTGTTAACCCTAGGTTCATACTGTTCACCTGGAAGCCCTGAACCCAGTGTAGGGCTGGGAAACAATCTCAGATTCAGGGCCAGACAGACTCAAGTTCAAATTCTAACTGTCTTAAATGGTGGTAGTGGTGTGCCATGGAGTCAGTTCTGACTCATCGCAGCCCTGTATAGGGTTTTCAAGGCTGTAAATCTTAACGGAAGTTGAAAGCCTCATCTTTCTTCCGCGGAGCAGCTGGTAGATTAGAACTTGCTGACCTTGTGGTTAGCAGCCCAGCTGGTAACCCACAATGCTACCAGGGCTCTTTCTCTTAAATGATATGTCCTCAGATAAATCACTTTCCCTAGGCCTGTTACTTTAGCAATAAATTAGGGGCAATGAATCCTAGCTTTCAGGGTTGCTATGAGGGTAAAGTGAAATTGTGGCTAAAAGGATTGGGTACCCAGTAGGGGCCAAATAAATGAGAATCTAAACCAGAAACCAGTAGTCCTGCTTTCAAGGCCTAGCTCAATGATTTTTAATGTAACATAATTGAGCAACTATTATATGCCAGACATTGTGTTAACAGCAGGCCATGAGATACCCAGTTAGTTCTTGGGTTATTTTCTAGCTTCATCTCCCAATTCCCTTTGTGGTTTGCATTCTAATAAAAGTGAACTGTTAGCAGGTCCCCCCAAAAATCTTTCCAGTTCACATTTTTATGTCCTTTACACACAGTATTGCCTTTATGTAGAATACCCTTTCTTTCTTGCCACCAAGAGAATGCCTACTCCTCTTTTGAAACCTGTTTAGTCATTACCTCCTCTGTGAAACTTTCTGATTTTCCTCTTCCTCTGCTAATTTACCCTAGAAACTTATTTACACTCTGTCATAGCAGTTAAAATATTGGGTCACAATGATCTATTTGCACATTTGTGTCTTCTAAATATGCAAGGCAAGGACACTGGGCTGAACATACGTGAGTACTAGGTGAAGTACAAAGAAGGAAGGGAGTAAAGGAAGGATAAGACAGCAACTCGAATACAGTGAAGGAGCCAGACGCATTGTGATTGAGTAAATATGGCCACTATTTCTTTGCAGCTTCTCCTCTCAGAATCAATTTCATTATCCCTTGATTCTGGGCTATCTTTGGGACTTGTCTTGCCCAGGAGAAAGTGGTGGAAGTGATACCGTGTGGCCTCCAGCTTTGCACCTGCCTGATGTGATAATGCCCTGAGACTGACACGTAGGGAAATCAGTCTAGCCCACTGGAGGATCAGAGGCAACATGGAAGAGAACGAAGGCACCCCATTCTCCCAAACACGTGGTGAGGCCACCTTGGCCTTGCCAGTCCAGCTCATCCTCCAGCTGAATGAGGCGTATACCTGAGAAAATGCCCAGTCAGCTTACAGGATCCTACGAAATTCTAAATTGTTATGTTAAGCCAGTAGGTTTTGGGATAGTTTATTCTACATCATTAGATAACAGGCCATCTAAACAGGCAAAAACAATATTGGGTTCTAAAGGCAAGGACAGGTCCTGGGGGTCATGAGATGATAAAATAATCCAGAAAGGTTTCTTGGAAGAGGTAATATTAGGGAAGGAGCCTGGTTACACAATGGGTTATGCATTGGGTAGCTAACTGTAAAGTTGTGATTCAAACCCACCAGCTGCTCTGTGAAAGATGAGGCTGTCTGCTGCTGTAAAGGCCTACAGTGTTGGAAATCTGAAGGAGCAGCTCTATTCTGCCTTATAGGGACACTGTGAGTGGGGATTGACTTGATGGCAATGGGTTTTTATTGTTAATTGAAGAGAAATAGAAATTTAGTGGGGTGGGGTGAAACAGTCCCATTAGAAGAAACAACATGTAGAAAGGCACACACAGAGGTAAGAAAGGAATGGCACATCCAGGGAGTGGTTAACATTTAGTGAGCAGAGCCCTTAGGATTCAGGGAGGGAGGAATTAGAAGTAGAAGCTTGAAATATAGGTTGAATTCAAATCCCAGAAGGCTTTCATGCTATGCTAAAGAGCTTAGACTTTATCTTGTAAAAAGTAACCTAATTTGATTTGTCCTTTAAAAGGTATACTTTAGAGTCCAGATCAGGGTAAGGGTTAAGGGTGACTGAATGGACTCTAGAGGTGTCTTAAGCTCCTGAAGTTGTGTATACAATGCTGTATTCAATTGTGTGTAAGGGGGTCTTATGTTTTTGTTTTTGTTTTTTAGGCAAAAGGGTCAATAGCTTTCCTCATATTCTCTGGAGAATAAGAGAAATACCAACATTCTGGCTGTAGGAATGGAGGCCAAGGAACTGGGGCAGTGTTGGCCTGATGGTTCCTCTTTTCTGCATTCAGAAGATGGTGAGGCTGGGTGCGATAAGTGATGTAGACAGGATGAGCCTCTGCAGGCAGGAGACTGTCTACCCTTTTGGGGTGGAACTCAGACCACAATTCCTTAGAGTACGATTATTTTCCTATCTCAGACCTGGGAGATCCGGGCCAGGGCAATGTCTCTCAGGGGCTGAGACTGGGCTGGTACCCCTCCACAGACTGAGAAACCCAAGGTGTCTAGTAGAGCAGGGTCAGGGAGGCTGGTTTGCAGCCCAGATTCAGCACACCACTTTGCATACTCTGCACCCTGACACAGGATTGTGGTAGCTTGGAAGGAAAGAGGGCCCTTTTCTAACCAGCTTGCCTGAGAGGGGGTGCTTTTCTCTAATTCTAACAGAGGCTTTATATGCGTTATCAGTGACCCTTGTTCCCTGGTACCCTGTCTTTCTGTGTCAGATCAGGACTTCTGAGCCAGGGCTGTTTTTCTCTTTTCACATTGGGGCTCCCTGAGAAAGCTCTTCTTTTAGATACACATTCTTTGGAGCAAGGCCCTGTTTTCTTCCATCTGACTGGGGATCCCAAAGAAGAACAGGATTCTCTTTTCAGACAAAATCTTCTGGGGAAAGTTCTGTCTCCTTCCTAGTATAACAACGGTCCATCTACAGCTAGGATGTTACCTTTCGGCCCCCTCCTGCTCTGATCTTTTAGGATTGTTTGATTACTCACTGTCTGCCTGTCTGTCTCTGTCTGTGTCTGATGTCAACATTGGAAGTACTGAAGGGCTATTTACTCAAGAGATCGTGGCGTTGAACTCTGAGTCTGGGGGTGGGGTGGGGGACACACCTTAGAGACACCTAGGCTGTGTCTCTGAATCTCCCATGAAACCAAACCTCATTGACTATCTCCTACTTTCAGGGTACTCAGCTCATCAGCGTCCAGGGGATCCTGACACAACTTGCCCAAATCCATTTAAGACCCATCTGCTGACATGTGGGACTTCTGGGTTCAGTTTGGGGTTCAGACACAAAGGGAAACAAACATAGTTCAGACCTCTCCTTTTGTCCTGAGGATGGGGAGGTGTTAACACCATTAAGAGCTTGCTCAGGTGAGCTTACTTCTCATGCCCACCCAGCCACCCTCCTCACCTGGTATCTGTCGGAGTGGTGCAAGTCATCAGTGGCAGATGAGTGGGGTGACGCTGTTGGAGACTCTCCTTCCCTCTTGATAGCAGCAGACAACAGGAGGGACTGGAAGAAGAAAAAGAGCATGTGGCCTTAAGCCCGAATGAGACTACATTCAGTCCCCTAGAGTTGCCAGTCCTATGGAACTTTGGGGAGCAAGACAGAGAGAAGGAGGGACCAAGGGACTACACTTGAGATTCTAGAGGCATGTACTCCAGCCCTGGGAGTGTACTTGTGGGAAGGGGATAGACTGACTCTAGAAATGGGCAGAGATCTGAAGCGGGGCCAGCGCTGCAGAAGTCATACTTTTCACTCTGGTTCCTTTTCCTGACGCTATCCTCTCAGCCTTCACTAGAGATTTAAGACTTCCAAATACAATGGCCTCCTCTCTAGCCTTCCTCTACACTACCCTATGCATTCAGAAACCTTGAGACCTTTGCTTTAGAGTCCCTAGAGGAGTGCAAGAGTAGTTAAAGTCTTCAACTATTAACTGAAAAGTTGGTGGTTTGAATCCACCCAGATATGCTTTGGAAAAAAGGTGTGGTGATCTGCAAAAGGTCATCACCTTGAAAACCTTATGGAGCAATTCTGCTCTGCACACAAGGGGTCATAATGACGTGGTATCAACTCAATGACAACTGGTTCCGAGCTTTATATCAGACCCCTGCTAGGCTAATCCCTGCCCCCATGGATTGGGGCTCCCAGTGAGCTGCTTTATTCTCCTGAAGAGAACAGAGACTCTGGGACAGAACCCCATGAAGAATTGGTGGTAAAGACCCATACTCACTACCCTGTGTGCCCCTAATATAGGCTGATGGCAGCCCCGCTGTGGAGACAGTAAACTAAATAATATGTATGAGTTTCTTGTATGCGGCCAGGGATGTACACTGGGTCCATTTATCCCTGCGCTGCAGCGATGACCCCAGTAAAAACCCCAGCAAAACTAATCCCCCCGTGTCAATCCTGCACGGCCTCTTCTACATACGCCTGCAGTTTAGATTAATAAACTGTCTGCCTTAAATTGTGTACGAACACCACAATCCTAAATACCACATGGCACGTTGGGCCCAAGAGCTAACTCTTGCCAAGGCCTGTGCAGCTGTAAATGGGGGGCGGGGTGGTGGGGGGTGAAGAAGCCTGGGAGCAATCCATACTTCTCCACTTCTCCAGCTTGCACAGCTCTGAGTCGGAAGCATACAATTCCCTGTGAGGCCTCCCCAGCTTCGAAAACCATGCCAAATCGCCAGTGACAGCCCAAAGAAAGCAATTTGGGAAAGATGGAGCAGCCATTTATCCTCCATCTCCGACTGAGCCTTAGGATGTGACCCGCATGCGGTGGACCTGCTGCACATCTGCAGGCAAGGGCTCTGGGAGGGGAGGGCTCACGCAGGAGCCATCTGAGGGAGAGCTGGAGGAGGATCAAGGCTGGAAAGGGCCAAGGGGCCAGACTCCCTACAACTTGAAGCCCCATCTTGGCCCACCCAGGCCTGGTGGGAGACCTAGTCCCCAGCTCAGAAAGAAGGTGCTTTTAAGAACTGTCTTTCTCCTGCTCGGATCCCGAAGAAGATGCTGAGTGGGGGAAACACTGTGGGGCTGCCCCTCACCCCCATGCTCTCCCATCCCAGGAGGAAGCTTGTGCGTTCTCTCTCTCTTTCTCTCTAGGTTAGAAGCCCTGAGAGGCCTCAGCATTACACCTGGGGCAAGCAGAATAAAAAAAGGTCACCGGCGCTTTTTAAACATGGACCAAAAAGCAGTAAAATGTGTTTTGAAAAAAAAATCCCGGCATTAAATCATGACTTTTTGCCTGGCTCTTCGCCTCATTAAAAGTGGCCTTTTGGAAGGTAAAATTATCATTGTAAGCGATAAGATCTTTAAGAAAATAATTCACGGCTTCTTCACCCTTTAATATGATAGCCGCCACCGGCTAATTTTTTTCTTAATGGCAACGAGGCCATCAATCTTGTCTAAGGCCCCCCTCACCCTCTCCTCCTCCTTCCCTCCTTCTCCTTGTCCTCTCAGTCTCTTGCTGGAACCTTCTGCCTTCCACCTCTTCCACCCATGACCTGGTTCCCTAAAGTCTCAGTCAAGGCAGAGGGTGGACCTTGAAGTGTTCAGTTTTGGGGATATGCGTATGCATCAGAAATTGGCTGGGCAGTTTCCTAGTCTCTGGTTATGATTATCAAAGTCTGTGTCCATGGCTGCAGGACTCTGAGCATGTTTTAGACTGTGTATGCATTCTCACCAAGACCTGTGCATGTGTGCACATGGGTTTATCCTTAGAACATAGACCTACCTCACGGGGGTCCAATCCCCCCACCTGCCAGCCTTGCTCAGGTGTTAGCAGTTGTGGCAGCTTGTCTATGACATTCCTTAAACACAACTTATTAAATGCTCCAGGTGGGACCAGACTCAGCCAGTGTGGCTCCCATGTCTGTTTGCCCACAGCTGCCTGGCACCCCCACCTTCTCTCTCTAGGCTGGCAGGGGATTTGCCTCCTTGGAGAGACCTATGGAGGCACCTATAGCAATTCAAGGCTGGGGTAGGTTCTCTGTATCCTTCCTCTGTCCAGCGCCCTGCACTAGAGTCCTGCACAGAGTCCTGCATGAAGGTGCAAAGCCCACTCCTATGCTTTTTAATGGTCTTGGCCAATCCTGTGCAAGTGATACCTGTCACTCTGGCCCCTTTTTCCAAAATGACTCTTTCAGACCTCACAGTGCTTATAAGATTTCTAGATACAACAGCCCCATCTCCAGCATTCCTCTACTTGACCACTGCATACATTCTGAAAAATTTGCCCCCCTTAGGAGCCTGGATTTCTATTCTAATGTGCCACTCTTAACTCTCTTTCCCTTGTACCTTATCTTGCCCCAGAGTGCATAAATTCTCAGATTCTCTTCATGGCTTTTGTATTAATTTCAATACACCCTCCCTCATGAATCTCATCCATTCCTAAAGCTTCAACATTCACTGCTCATGTTCCTAGAAACTAGGCTGAGGTTGGCCCAGGACCGGGCAATGTTTCCTTCTGTTGTACATAAGGTCACTATAAGTTGGTACTGACTCGATGGTACCTAACAACAACAACAACAACAACAACAACAACCAGTCAGTATGAGAACATATGAGAAAGGAGGCCACCTCAGACTGAGGGTAGGAATGGGATAGCCATTGAGGGAGGCTTAATTGTCCTGCCTGGCTCCTTATTTTCAAAATTACCCCCTTAAAGGAAGCAGTGCCATCTGACTCTTTGGCCACCTAGAGAAGTTCTTGTCATCATGCTAAGGCCTCTCTGGTCCCTTCCCTTGAACAAATAACTTGCTCTTCACGTTTTCCCTCTCTACCTGTGCCTCTCAAGCCTCTCTCCTATAGTGTCTGACCAGAAGGGCAGACCATCTCCCCAAATGAGCCCAGCATCCTCCTTGACTCCTCCTGATAAAGCAACACACATACACACCATGGTCTGGCTTCTAAGGCTCTGCACTATCTGTCTTGACTTGCATTTCTGTATTTTTCTTCACATGCTATATCTAGGTCACCTTCCTCCATGAAGTTTTCCCAGCCTCTATTTCTGGGTCCCCCACAGTCCTCAGGCCCTTCTTGGTTCTGACCCTCTTCTGGCTAGCAGAGGAGGAAGTCATATGAGCACTCACATACACAGACCACAGGTAAACTTTTAAGTACACAGAGCAGCCCAAGGCTTCTGGCTGAAGTTCCAACCCTGGTGCTAGTGGGGAATCCAGGAAAAGCTATTTTTTCAGGAGGAACCAGTTCTGGATGGGCAGATGGGAAACACACAATTAGTCACCTACCTTGGGGGTTCCTGGAGCCATGACATCCTTCAGAAGGGAATTTTTGCTGCCAAAAAAAGAAGAAAACAGGATGACCATTCTATTTGCTGTCAGGGCAGGCAAAGGAGACCCCAATAGAGAAGACATTGCCCACTTAGTCCAGCAGCTCAAGTGAATACCACACAGTCCATTTAAACCCAACTCGCCCTGCCTAGCTCAGCTTCCACCAGGGGTAAGGACAAGAGACAAAGTCTGGGCGGGGGCTACAGACACCAGGCATGGAAACCTCATCAACAGACTTCAGGAAAGGGGCTTTACCTGAGTCCTAGTGTCAGGATTCTGCCTGTCCTAGATGCCCACTTTGTTCCACCCCCTGTCCCCAGCCTTAGCTCTTAACTCCTATGGGATTGGGGTGATGGAGCTGACATGGCTCTTGTCAATTCTCCCTCCAACACGCTACAAACTGCGTTAGGCCAGGAATGATCTCCCCCTGATTCAATTTGTCAGCCCCAAGCCCTCCGGCATCGGGCACGGCGGGCGGGCAGGCGGGAGCTGGGCCCTGAAATATGGTGGGCGGCTCAGAGCAGGCAGGGGCGGGGGAGGGAGGTGATGGATGGGCTGTGGGGGAGGCGAGGACTGTGTTTAATAACAAAATTGGTATGCAAGGCCACATCCCACGCTAAGCATGAGTGATCCAGAGCCACAAAGTATTACAAATCCCCGCTAAACAGATGCTGACAATGGAACAAGACGTATCAAATCAGATCCACTTCAGAAACATTAATATCCCTGTTCCTGTCCCTCCCTCCTTGCCACCCCCACTATGCTCACCACATCTGTGCTCATGCACCATGCGTGCATACACACACACACACACATACACACAAATACATGCACGCAGGGAGACAGCCCAATCACACAAGCTCCCCACACAGATACACAAACGGCATAGATCTAGAGCATGCCACAGATAGACCCAGAAAACACAAAAGGTACAGGCATATCCAAGGCAGAAGATAGGGGGCACATATGGATACACAGAGTGTATACATACAGGAGACACCCAGAAATGTGTATAGGTGCCCACAAGGCCAGACACAGACACACCCAATATCTGAGCAAAGACATAGGGCAGATTCAGATAAAGTAGTGAATCTCAACAGGGAGTTATTTTGCTCCCCAGGGGGGATATTTAGCAATGTCAGAAAGGCAGTTTTGATCATCACAACTGGAGTGGTAGGGACCAGAGATACTGTAGAACATCATACACAGGGAAGCCCCTCACAGTGAAGAATTACCCAGCCCAAAATGTAAACAATTCCAAGGTTGAGACACCCTGGTATAAAGGCAGGTACACATATATATCGATTGTTGTTGTGGTTAAGTACCATGGAGTTGGTTCCAACTCATAGTGACCATGCACAGGGTTTCCGAGGCTGCAAATCTTTATGGGAGCAGAAAGCAAAGACCCGCTATAATTCTGCCAAGTCTCAAAGATACATGTGGTCAAGCCTGGAAACTCAGACATGCATACAGATGCACAAGCATGGACATGGAGTCCTATTCCCAGAGATGTGTCAATAAAGACATAGTGACAATAGTCACAGAGATGTGTCAATAAAGACATAGTGACAATAGTCACATGCACCTGGGTGCATATATGCACATGCCCGTATATCCCCATAAACACTCATAGTTATATACACTATGTGCACTGACACACGCCCAGACAGGCATGAACCCCCCAAATGCAGACACATATGGACACACACAAACACATCACAGTGCAGAGGTTACCAGGCTCAGCTGCAGGGCGAGGCCAATTCTGAATGTAACAACTAGCCACCTGCCTGTCTGACTCATATAGTGGGGCTATCGGCCCTGGAAGGATAGCCAACCCAGGTTCTATTCAATTATACTTTGTTCATAAATGATCCTTGTATTCCTACTTCATGACTGGGTCTAACTTAGAGGAAACTGAGCTGCTCTTGAGAAGTTGCTAGTTTCGGAATTCATTACTTTCATCATTCCTTCACTCTGAACAAGTACTGACATCCTTCTGTTTGGGCATGGGGCTGGGCCTGTTGTTGTTAAGTGCTGTAGAATTGGTTCCAACTCACCAACCCGTGGCACTGCGGGCTAAGGCGTCAGACTGCAGTCGTTTGAACTGCAAGGTCGGTGATTCAAGCTTACCAGTTGTTCCGTGGAAACCCTATACAGGGTCACTATGGCTTGGAATCAACTGGACAGAACTTAACAACAACAACATAGGATTTCCTACGAGTGGTTGGTGAGTTTGAGCCACTGACCTTGCAGTTCAAACCGACCATTATTTCAAGTGTCTATCCTAGGGAGCCTGGATCAGGTTGAAGAGAAAAAGAATTACTGTCTGCCCACTGTATGTGACAGGCATTGTGGTTGTTAAGTGCCTCTGAGTCAGCTCCGACTCATAGCGATCCTGTATTGGGTTTCCAAGGAGCGACTGGTGAATTTGAACTGCCAACCTTGCAACCCAATGCATTATCCCACAGCGTCACACCAGGCATGGGCTATCACATTTAATCTTCACAAAACCTTTACAAAGTTAACTAAGAGAAATTAGGTGGCACATCTATGTTCCAACAGTCTGCAGAAGGGTTGGGATTTGAGTTCATGTCTGACTGGGTCTAAAGTATTACTTTTTTATTGTCTACAATGCCTCTCTCAAAGATACTTGGGGATTTAGGAGACAGGGTGGAGCTCTGAGCTGCTTTTTCTCTATCCACTTTATTGTATGACTTTGGGGAGGCCACTTGCTGCCTCTGGGTTTCAGTTGACTCTGCTGGTGAATAGAAATTCAGGGTCAGAATGTCCAGCCACTAGCTTTGCCAATCTTCTGGATCATTTCTGAGTCTCTCGTACTAGACTGATACTCCACAAAACTCCTTTCCTCTCTTAGCATCCTACTTTTCTTCCAACAACCCCATCTCCAAGTTTTCATGCCCCCGTCCCCACTTCACACGCCTGGACTGAGGCGTCTGGTGAAGGGTCTGCCTTAGAGAGAAGAGGTTTGAGTCTAGAGCCTCTGGCTGCCTGGCTCCCGCCCAGCCCATCAGCTCTGCCTTCCGTCCCTCCCTGTTTCCACAGCCCGCCCCCAATGATTTCCTCCCTTGCTCAGTCACTCGCTGCCTAGTGATCCATGGGTTTTAAATTATAACTGGGACCCAGGAAACGCGTTCCTAAGTACAATATTCATGGGCTGGGCTGACACTTTTAATTAAGGTGATTTACACTGAATTATCCTTGGAAATAAAGAAATGGTGCGCTGCCCGGGAATAAACCATCATCACCAGCCGCCTTTGTAACTTACACTTCGTTTTAATCTATTTGGGGAATTGTTTATCTAGTTCATTACCCAACCAAACACCGAGGCCGGCCTTAAATAAGGCTTAAGTGGGGGTGGGGGCACTGCCATCTACACACCCCTCCTCTTCTTGAGAGCCACCCAGGCTCTCTCTGGCTCCTTCCAGCCCTTTTAAAGCATTGACCAGAAAGGTGGTTTCCCAGTCCAGAGGCCAGATCTTGCAGTGGTTTTGAAAGTCTCCCTGAAAACATCTCTAAGCTAAGATTCTGCCAAGCCAAGCCCTCACTCTCAACTTTGTGGAATCCTTCCTCTTTGAGTGGAAACTCCTGTCTGAGAGTCACAGAGAAGTCTAAGGTGCCCCACCCCATCTATCTACCCTTCAATCTTCAGCTCCTGACTAAATCCCTGCCTGTCCACACTCACTTGCCCATCCTCACCCCATCACCATACCTGGTAGGTGATGGTAGGCTCTACGTAGGTTGAGCCTACTTAGATCCCTGTCTGTTCTCTCTCCTTTCCTTTAGGTATTTGCTTCTCTGATACCACCACCCTCGTTTCCCAAGTCATAAAGCTTCTTCCTTTATCCCACAAGTAATCACGTAAGCCCTCTTGCTTCTTCCTCCACCGTTGTCTCTCATCATTCCCTCTTCTTTTTCCCCACTGCTACTACACTGTCCCAGGTCACCTCCTCTCTTTTCCCTGGATCCCGCCCAACCTGCTCACCGGCTTCCCTGCTTCTACTCTTATCTTCAACCCATTCCTGACACTGGTTTCCAGAGTGATTCTGCTATAACTAAGCTCTCTCTGATCCAGCCTTGTGCTGGCTCGTGGATGTTCTCATTCCCTCACTACATCTAGGACATAGCTCCACTGAAGAGCTTCCATAATCTGTCCTTGATCTAGTTGTGCCCTCTTGGCTCTAATTAGTAAAATCCTGGGGTCTATTGGAAATAGTATAGGAGCTCTGGTAGCATAGTGGTTACGAATCGGGCTGCAAACCTTAAGGTCAGCGTTTCAAAACTACCAGTCGCTCCGCGGGAGAAAGATGAGGCTTTCTCCTCCCGTAAAGATTGACACCCTCGGAAACGCTGTACAGGGTCGCTATGGGTCGGAACTGACTCGACGGCATTTAACAACAAACAACATTGGAAATAGTGGTGTGAGGGAGGGTGTGTGGAAAGTCTAAGTTGGGTGGACCCTCTGATTTCAAATGTAAAAGTGCTTTGATAGATCAAAGTGCGTTGTCATTGGGAGTTCTGACTATTCTTGTTTCTGAATGTCCAAATGCCTGGGGGAAATGCATTATGGGAAGGTGGTTGTTTTCGCATATGTGTTTGTTAGAACGGGTGTTTGTATGCTCACCTAGGCGTTTCATGTATCTATACCTGAACCTGTGTCTGTGAAAGGCCAGACAGCCCTAGCTTGGGAACTGGAAGATCCCTGCAAATCCTCAGGTTGTGTCAGAAATAGCAGCCTGATCCGGTCCTATGCTTTGTACAGAAGAAGGCATAAGGCAGAATACCAGGTTCACCTGAGGAGCTTCTCAGGTGAGAGAGAGGGGTGGTCTTGGGCAATGGCGGGGTGCCCTGGCAGCAGCAGCCACACAATCAGGAAATGGCTGGACTGTGGCAGGAATAGGGTGGGGACCGAGGCAAGGGGAGAGTAAGAGAGGGAACGGGAACAGATGGGAGATTAGGAGAGTTAGGGAGGAAATCTCAGCTAACTACCATGGATAAACGATGCCCTTATTTGGGCTCTGCTCAGAACTCTGTGAATGATGCACACACAGCTCTGTCCTGCAGGGCTCAGTTTCCTCATCTGTGAATCCGTTGGTCTAAGCCTCCTCTCAACTCAGGGGACCCAAGGTGGGGATGGGGGAAGGTGCCTCATCTTGCCCAACTTCCTTGGCTTCCCTCCTGCCTCCCTGAAAGCAGGGCAGGGGAGGAGCAAGGGCAGCCAAGAAAAGGGGCGCTCTCTTCGCTGCCCACCTGCCCATGTGACCAGCCCATCAGCCCGGAGGGAGCTGACACACTCTTTGGGAATTTATCACGCACCCAATTACAATGTTAATTGGCAAGTTCCTGAAATCAATTAATTCGCAAATTTTTTCCAATTAAAAATCCAGATAAATCATGAGGGCGGCGGCGGCGGGTCGGTCCAGCCCGCAGTCCAGTGGGCGAGCGGCCGCAGGGAGGGGAGGGCGGCGAGGGGAGGGGGCGGCGGGCGCGGCTGCCCTTGAACGCCTTTGCTGGCCGGTCGGACTGTCAGCGCGCCGGGCGCGGCGGGCCCGAGACAGATAAAACCATCGACCCGTCGCCGCCAGCGCTTCGGCTTTATCGATCCGACGGGAATTTCACTTGCTGTGCAGATCCCTCTGTCCGGCTGTCAGACACCGGCTTGGAGAGGAGAGGAGAGTGGGGGCGTGCCGGGGCACAGGGTGTGCACGTACGGGGGAGGGGGTGTTGGACTGGGCCCATTTGTGAAGAGTATGAAATGGGGGGACGAAAGACATAGCTGTGAATGTAGTGGAGCAGATGTAGGGGTTCTTGGTGAGAAGTGGGCCTGGGCGGGGCAAAGATGTGGATGCTCTGGAGGATGTGGGGGTTGAGAGATGGGTGCAGGAGCATGGGTAGGGGTGGAGCAAGGCTACAGGCAGAGTGGGTACCCTGGACAGTACAGTGTGGGGCCATGGGGACTAGGCTGAGGGGCATAAGGAGAGTTCTGGGCTCCTTTCTCTAGATTTTTAGGGGAACACTGTCTTAACAAGGCTCCACAGGTCCCTCCATCTCTGCTTTGCTTCTTCATTCCTTTTGAAGGGAAGAATTACACTACAACCCTCCAGGGCTGGGAGAACTCTGATATAGAAGTCAACTTTAGAACGTTGTTTGTTTCCCTCTCTGCTTCTGCCAGGCTAATCCCCAGCCAATTGAAGGGGAAGATAAAGACCATGAGCATGCAGTCACATTGTTTGGGTTTAATCTGGTCTTTACCACTTACTAGTTGTGCAACCTTAGGGAACTCACTTAACTCCTCTGTACCTCAGTTTCCTCATCTGTAAAATGGGAGTGATAATCAGGAGCCATCTTAGAAAGTTGTTGTGAAGATTAAATGAATTAATGAGATGTAAGGATTGTTATTATCATCATTATTATTATTATTAGTTGTTGTTAAGTATGCATAGAGTTTCCTAGGTATAACTGGTGAGTTTGAAGTGCTAACCTTGGAGTTCAAACCAACTTTGCAGTCCAGTGCTTATCCTACAGCGCCACACTAGCATAGTTTATGGTGGTAGTTTTAAAGTAAGTTTACAAATTCTTTGAGACTCCTCCCTTCAAGAGATACAGCATAATTCTGTCTCAAGTTTAGGCTAGACTGGATGGCCTGCTTCTAGTGAAGAGACTGTAGCAGAAGTGCCAGGGTGTAACTTCTTAGACTAGGTCATAAAAGGCATTACATCATTACTCTTATACCAAAGTCAGATAGAAGATATACACCATATTCCTTATGAATATAGATGCAAAAATCCTCAACAAAATAGTAGCAAACAGCATGTAACATCTTATTAAAAGGATTATACCCCATGACCAAGTGAGATTTATCACAGGAATGCAAGAAGGGAGGAATCAATTATTGTCATACACCTGTTAATAAAATGAAGGGAAACAAAACAAAGCATGATCACATCAATTCAGAAAAGGTATGTGACCTTTCATGATAAAGAAACATTGAAAAAACTAGGAATAGAAGGGAAATTCCTCAACATGACACAGGACATAAAAAACTCACAGTGAACATCATATTCAATAGTGAAAGACTGAGAGCTTTCCCTCAATGATCAGGAGCAAGACAAGGATGCCCACTGTCATTACTGCTATTGAACATTGTACCGGACATTCTAGCCAGAGCAATCAGGCTAAGAAAACAAACGTAGGGAGTCCAAATTGGAAAGGAAAAAGTAAAACTATCTCTATTTGCTGATGATGTGATCCTACACATAGAAAGTCCCAAAGAGCCCTGGTGTGGCTCTGCAGGATAAACACTGGACTGCTAACCACAAGGCCAGCAGTTCAAACCCATCAACTGCTCTTGGAAACCTTAATTAGGGTCTCGATGAGTCAGAACCAACTCAACAGCACTCAACAACAGCAACAACAAAAAATTCACAAGAAAGTTACTACAGTGAATAAATTATAATAAAGTTGCAAGGTCAACACATAAAAATCAGTTGTTTTTCTACACACCAGCAATGGCCAACCAAGAAAGGAATTTCGGAAAACAATTCCATTTGCAATATCTTAAAGAATAAATACCTTTTTTAAAAAAAGGACATTGGTGGCAAAAGGAAAACATAAAATCTATAGATTATTTTAGTAGTTTTATGTTAATATTAATTTCTCAGTTTTGGTAATTGTACTGAGGTTATACAAGATGGTGACATTGTATATGGAAACTCTCTGTAGCATTTCTGCAATTTTTCTGTAGGTCTAAGATTGTTTCAAAATAAAATGTTATTTAAAATTTTTGGTGAGGGCAGATGTTGCCTTCCTTATTTTCTTTTTTATCACTCGCTCTGAGGGATGTCAGTTGCCGTGTCATGGGGACATCCATGCAGCCCCATGGAGAGACTTATGTATTGAGGAAATGGTAAGACCTTCTACCAACAGCCATGTGAGTGAATCATTGTGGAAATGGATCTTCTAGTCCCAGTGAAGTCTTGTGATGATTGCAGTCTTGGATGACATTTTAATTGCAACTTCATGAGCAATCCTGAGGCAGAACCACCCAACTAAGCTGTTTGTTCTTGAATTGAAGACCCACAAAAATTGTGAGGGAGTAAATTTTTGTTGTTTAAGCCACTGAGTTTTAGGGTAATTTCTAACACAGCAATAGATAACTAATACATCTGCCTTCACTCATTTCCCTCAGGACACCTGTGCCCTGTGCTAGGTTTAGTGTCTCTTTGATACTCCCACATACCACTTCTTCCCAAATAGCAACCTCTGTCCCTCAGGGTTTGTATTTCCTGACTCTCTTCACCTTCATAAGATGAATCACTAAGAGCAGGAATCTTTTCTGACTCACCTTTGGGTCCCCTGCATACTGCATGAGGGATTAGGTGAGAAGAAGAAGGAGAGACTATCACTCAAGTCTGCTGACCCAAAGCGAACCAAGGGTGGGGATGGCAGATAGTGGGGCAGGCTGTTCAGCCCTGTGGAAGACTGTGTTTTCCAAAGGTGACTGCAACAGTATCTGTCACCCTACATGTTCAAATATAATGTGACCTTGCCACTCTATTCCTCCCATCAAAAAGTGGGATGTATGTCCCCTCCCCTATGAATCTGGATGAGCTAATTGTGCTTTAAGCAATGGAGTACAGTGGGAAAGACAATAATAAATGATTTTGGAGGCTAGGTTATAAAAGGTGTTCCTGCTTCTGTCTCCTTGACTGGAACATTTGCTTTGGGGCCCTAAGCCGCAATATAAGAAGTTGAATTTCCTTGAGGCCACCATGCTATGAGGAAATGCAGGCTGCATGGAAAGGTGCTTTGGTCACAATTCCAGCTGAGCTCCTAGGCAACAGCCAGCAACAACTACCAATGAATGAAGGAACCTCTAGATGATTCTAGTTCCCAGTCATCCAGTCTTCCCAGCAGAGACCTCAGACATCATGGAACTGACATAGCTATCCCTTGTGGCTCCATCTGAAATCCTGACCCCACAGATTCCATGATCATAATAAAAGGGTTGCTTTCAACCACCAATATTTGGGAGAATTTTTTACACCCCTCCTCTGTTCTCTTTGATAACCTGACTCTTCTATAGTCCCTTAAGGAGCTGAGCCCAGTCCTTCAGGCAGGAGTAAGGGAGAGAAAGCTGGGGGTGTGGTGAAGTGGGGCAGTGGGGAGCAATCCTGAGTGCATTCTTAAGACTGTCCCCTTCCAGATTTGACATTCATTGAGAAGGTAATGCTCACTCTTCTGGTGACAGTATCAGGTGGAACTTCAGATGGGGCTGCTAACCTCAGGACCTGCTTCTTTTACCTCACCCTGGGTTCAGCATAGTGGTTCAGGGCCTGTGGACTTTTCCCAGTCTCTTTTGTACTCTTTGGAGGCTAAGACCTAAGGGGTCACCCTCCTCCCATCACTAAAAATAGAGCAAGAAGAGAAAAGCAGCACTGAGGGACCTGAGCTGGGTTCATAGGAAGAATCATAGAAGAAAGCAGAATGGAGGAAGATGGATGACATCATAGTTAAGTTTTCTACCTAAGGTTGGGTGTGGGCCAGATGGCTGTCATTGGGACCTGGTAGATGGCTTACCTGGCAGGTAGTTGGGCCAGTTGTTCCAGTTCCTGCTCCATATGTTCCTGCAACTCGCTGGGCCTCAGCAGGACCTGGCAGATGGGGCAAATGGGGGCCTGGCTGTCAAACAACGCTGCTGCCTTCTTCTTACCTGGCGAGGGAAGAACAGACAGATGCATAAACTGGGCTGTCCAACAAGGAAAATCTAGTGTGTCTCAATCTCCTGATCTAATCCTGCTGTCTTCTTAGCCCAGAGGAGGGATGAGCGGGTGTGACTGAGTCCATGAGCTTCACTCCTCTTTGCAGCTTCAGAGGATGTAGTCAGGAAAGGCACCTCCCTTAGCTAGTGGCCCCTCTTGGAAATCTGTCAGGACACAATTGATGTTCTGTGCAATCATACCCTGCTCACTTAATTTTTCATATTCTAGCGAAGAATCTCTTGATTAAATACCGTCACCCAGAATATCCAGTGTCCCCTTTCCTCACGGCTGGAGACGGAAAAACAGAGGGAGACAAGGGACTCATTCATACAATTATTCAACAGATAGTTTCTGATGTCTACTCTGAACCAGGCCCAGTACAGAGAAGTGGGGACACTGAATGGAATCAGATCTAGTCCCTACCTTTGAAGTCCTCACAATTAAAAAGGGTCCAATGGCTTCCAGGGTGGCATTCTCTCCTGGTTCATCACTTTTCCACAGGGTTCTCTCTATCTTTAGCTTCTTTTTCCTCATTCTGAATGCTGGATGATCTTGTTTACTCTTAGACCCCTAGTTCCCACCTATTCCCTGTTGACTCCAGAGACTTCAGAATCTCTATCTTGACCCTAGATAACTCCTCTGTTCTCTAGAGTCTTATATCCAAATACCTAATCCACATTAATGCTATATACCCCACAAGAATCTGAAAATCAACAACTCAAAATTAAGTTCTTCAGCTTTTTTACCCCTTCCAAACCTGCTCCTTCTTCAGCGGGGTCCAACTCTGTTAATGATACCGTCACTCACCTAGTCGCCTAAGCCAGAAACTTTAGTTCCTTCCCTTGCTTCACCACCTCTCCCATATTCACTAGCCTCACCACAGCCATTGAACATCCAAGTCATGTTCATTCTGTTCTTTAATATTCCTGGATTCTCTCTGTTCGGGTCTCATTTTCTCTCACTTGGATAACTTCATTGGCTTCTTGTGAGTCTCACTGATTAAGAATTCTTCCCCTCTAAATTTGTGCAGCTGCTCTTTGGAAACCCTATGTAAGGTTGCTATGGATCAGAACCAACTGGATGGCACTTAACAACAACAATACATGAGCACATGTAGGTGTAATACTTACTATGCTGGCTTGGGGTTAGCTGGTAGCCTGAACTTATTCTCAACTCTTTCATTGATGGTAGTCAGACCATCCCATGCTGGAAAAAAGCCTGAAAGTTACCTAGCAATACCTTTGGGATGGCTGAATCCCCTCCCTTGCCACTTGTCCTACCCAATGTTCCTCTAACCTCTGGTTACAGGTGTGGGATTGAGGAGATCTAGTCATTTAAAACACCTGTGCCTATCTGTGGACATTCTGACTGTAGAAAGGGGTTCTTTAGATTGAGCTTGGATCTCCCTCCCCATTTCTTCTTTTTACTGGTGCCTACTTGTTGTTGTTGTTATGTACTGCTGAGTCTATTTAGACTCATAGCGACCCTGCACAGGGTTTCTGCGGAGCAGCTGGTGAGTTTGAACCACTGTCTTTGTGGTTTGCAGACCAGTGCTGATCCTACAGTGCCACACTAGGAGTACCTGGTGCCTGCAGAGGGGTCAAAATGAATCTTTAGGGAGATAAAGATACAGTGATAACTAAAATGTTTGCCTGAGTGGGGTTGCCAGATTAAGTACAGGATGTCCAGTTAAATTTGAATTTCAAGTAAGCAGTGAATATTATTTTTAGTATAAGGTATGGTGCAGAGTCAGCAGTTCAAACTTACCAGCTGCTCCTTGGAAATTCTATACAGGGTTGCTGAGAATTGGCACTGGCTTGACAGCACTTAACAACAACAAAATACCCCAGATGTTGCATGGAGCGTATTTATATATAAGAAATTATTCATTATTTATCTGAAATTCAAATTTAACTGGTGTCCTGTATTTCTATTTGCTAAACCAACAAAAACTGGGTTTGAGGAACTCCCAATTCAGGATGAGCATGAGAACCCACTTCTCTTTGACATAAAACTGAGGATAATCACAACTCTCCTAGATGCTCAGATTAAGTCATCTAAGAGCCCACAGGAGAGAGTAATTCATTCTGAGTTTCATAGTGAGGAGCGGCAAAAAGAGAAGGCTTAATCAAAGAAATGAAATTTAAGTTGTGCCTTAAAAGTGCAGAGTGTAGGCAGAAATGAATGAATGAATGTATGAATGTGCTGGGAATTTCTTGTGGGCAAGGACCATTTCTTCCATCTTTGTATCTATAGACATTTGATAACAGACCTGGCATAGATTAGATGCTCAATGATGAAGCAAGAGAAAGGAAAGAAGGAAGGAAAGGAGACGAGAGAATGAAGAGCAGATTGTTTTAGAACCTTTACAGGGCTGGGATATCAGGCGTGGAGCTTTATGTGAGCGCCAGAGAGGGGAAGGTATAGCTCCAGTCTGTGTGGCTGGGTCTCTGAGGAAGGGAAGGAGTCCTACCAATCATGTGCTTGACTCTGTGGCTGGGCCTCAGATGCTTAGAGGACAGTTGGAAGGTACCTCAGAGTAAAAGAAGCAGATGTACCATTGATCTGACCCTAAATTCACTCAGTCGGAGAATCTCAAAGATGAATGAGACCAGAGACATTACTCAAGCCATTGCCCGTATCTTATGGGAATGTGCACAGATGGGAAAATGCACAACTAGTCAGGGATCCCTGTACTTAACTTCATTTGTTTATCCATCTAACAAACATTTATTAAACAATGACTCTGTCATGTATTATTCTAGGAGAAGTTGGAGGTCAGAGATAAAACACATTCTTGACTTCTAGAACATAAATGAGTAGGAAAGCTAAAAGAGCATCAGTGATTCCGGTTAGTATAGCCCTGGTCTGGGGTATGAGGGAGAGATGAACAGAGACTATGGGAGGTCAGGAAGAAGTGATGGTGGGGCCAGTTCTGAGGATCCATGGAGGAGGTGAGGTTCAAACAGAGGCATGAGTATGCATATGGGAGAGTTGACAGGTTGTTAAAACACGTCACTGAGGCAGGGTCTGGAGTGGAAGAGGGAAGTGGTAAGGGAAGAGAATGAAGAAAGGGGAGAACTCTGTATGAGGTCTGAATTACAATGGAAACATCAGGTTTTCAACTCTTTAGCTTGGAACACCAAATCTAATTCTTGGGGTTTCTTGGAGCTCAGATGCCCTCCTTTGATCTTGGGGACCAGGAATCAGTATTTCCACATACTTATTCTCAGTTCATCTGTTTTGCCACTATAGGAATATTCAACTTGTCTGAGCTTGGCCTCAGTTTCCCCATCAGGACAAAGGGCCCTCTTCCTGACTCCCAGCTTCAGGAATAGTATTGATAGGGATCATAAAGGGACCCCACAGCCAATGCCCTTCATCTTGCCCCATTTTCTTAGGGGCTAGAGTGGCAGGTGTCTCCCCTGCCTCCCCTCCCCCGCTGTGTTCCCTATAATTTTATATTGAGACCTGTGGTCATGACGTGGGTTTTACTGCACTAACGACATGGCCTGCCCAGGTTTAATGATAAAATCCATACTCTGGCCCTGGGCCTGCTCCTCGTTTGCATAATTCCCAGAATACAGCTCCCTGAAGCTTTTGACCTGGGCCATTACAGTGGCCATAAAACGGGCCATAAAACTGCTGGGGATGGCCAAGAGGAGGGGGCTGTGGTCTTGCTGGGGTGGGAATGAGCCCTCAACCTCCCTACTCTTCCTAGGTCCTGGAGGAGGCATCCTCTGACTCTTCCTTGCTTCAATCCCCAGAACGTGAAACTTCATTTCAGGCTGGATAGGTCTCCAGAAATCCTTAGTCCCGCTACCCTTCCAATGTAGGAATTTCTGTTCCAACACAGCTGCCAGTATAACAGGTAGGTAGAGGGAGCCCACCAGAGACAGGCTGTCAGAAGGCATCTTCTCCTTGTGCAAACCTCACTTCCACCCGCCCCCCTCCCCCTCAGCTGGCCAAGCTCTTTTCCCACAGGTGGGTCTGGGTTATGGAAGCCTAGGCTGAATCTTGGACCAGCTCCCCAGAGAGGTCAGGAGCCAGACCGAGCAACATAGTGGGGAGACGTGGAAGCAAGAGGATATGGGGACAGGGACTGGGACGGGCTGTCAGTGCTAAAGATGATGAATGGGGAGGTGAGGCGTGAGGCCCAGTGTTATCGGCGGCGGTGGATGGCGGGTGCGTCCGCACGCCGCTCCTGCTAATCCCCGGGCGCTGCCTCAGCCCTTGCACTGATAACGAGGAAATGGGACTGACAACAATTTTTAGCTGAGAGATTCTTCACCAAAATGCCAGGCGGCCGGAGGTCTGACAGCGCCTGATTGAGTGTGTGAGTGTGTTGGGGGAACACCCGCAGCCCCCTCCCCTCCCATGCAAAGATGGATCGCTCATTCCGCCTCCCATCCACATTCATTACCGCACCTCCTCCCTGCCACCCCAGTCGCCGCCACCGCCATCGCAGCCTCCCACCTCCGTTTGTCTATGCAGGTATCCTCAGATGTAGGAGAAGAGCAGCCAGGGGAGGGGGCCCTAACACTCCCCTCTGCCTTACACAGGGTGACCCAGGCTCAAGGAGTCAAGAGGTATACAAGGTCGGGGACTGAGCCTCAAAAAACCAGAAATCAAGTTACAGACTGAAGCTCCCAAAGTGTATGACCTTCAGAGGGTCCCTTTCCCGTTCTGAAATGCTACAATACCAACAGGAATTGGCCAACTCTAAGCTGTGAAGAGGTCTAGGCCTGCTGAGCAGAGAGGTGATGTGGGGGACAGGCTCCAATCCAGTGATGCCAGTTCTCCTGCCTTGGAACAAGGCCTCAAGTACTGGGGGTCCCAGCTCAGCCCTCTGCTGCCCCCCTCTGTTAGGAGTTGCTGACCACTGGGAACAGGATGGTTCTGGCAACTCAAAAGGGCCCACCCAGGCTGCTCCCTCTCTGCTATCTTCATA